CGAGCCCACGGCCGACCCGTCGGCCGAGCCCACGGCCGCGCCCACGGCCGACCCGTCGGCCGCGCCCACGGGCGACCCGTCGGCCGCGCCGACGGGCATCCCGACGGCCGACCCGTCGGCCGCGCCCACGGCCGAGCCGACGGCCGACCCGTCGGCCGCGCCCACGGCCGCGCCCACGGCCGCGCCCACGGCCGCGCCCACGGCCGACCCGTCGGCCGGGCCCACGGGCATCCCGACGGCGGCACTGGCGCCTGCGCCATGACGCCGCCGTCCACTGGCGCCTCCCGCGCCTGTGAGACCCCTCTGAGCCTCCCGTCCCCCGCGGTTCCTCCCGGGCCCCCTACGTTTAGAGACGCGTCAAGGCATCCCGACGGCCGACCCGACCGCCGCGCCCACGTCCGACCCGACGGCCGGCACGGGCGCGCCCACGACCGACCCGTCGGCCGCGCCCACGGGCGTGCCGACGGCCGACCCGTCGGCCGCGCCCACGGGCACGCCCACGACCGACCCGACCGCGCCGCTGCTCATCGCCGAGTGCCTCGACGAAGCGGCGTACTACGTCTTCGGCTTGGACGCGAGCAAGTCGATGGAGGAAACTGGCTGGAACATCGCTCGCAAGTTCACCCAGGATATGGCGAAGACGCTGCTCGATTTGAACGACGAGAGGATCTCAGCGGGTCTAGAGCCGCACCAGGTGGCGGCGTACTGGTTCAACGGGGCGCACGTTAACTCCCCGGGCACGTTCACGGAGTTCACGACCGACTACGACGCTTTCGAGGTTTCCATACTCGACTATGGCGAGGTCGAGGAAGCACAGACGCAGCACCCGCAAGGGTTCCAGAAGGCCACACTGTGGCTGGACCCCGTCACTTCGAAGTTCAAGAGCCACGTGCTGATCACCGACGGCGCTCCGTTCGCGGCCACCGGACCCTGCAAGAACGGAGAGAGCCTGGGGCATCTCATCGGAGGAACTCCGGAGCACAACTACGAAACGTTCACGGACATTCGAGACACTCCGTGCCGCGCGGAGTGCGCCGTCTTGGATTGCGACGCGACCGGTCCGACGGGCTGCCTGGAGCAAATGAGACCTTGGGCCAAGGCAGATTGCCTGAGTGAGGACGGGAAGAGCGACAAAGGCAAAGCCGAGGCGTGCGAGTGCGCGCTCCACGTCGCCGAACTCTTCAACGCGGTGCCGCACTTCTCGACGACGGTCGTGGGCGTCCAGAACGCGCATAATCCCGAGGAACGGTACACGGAGATCTTCGACGCGATGGCGTCGACCCCGGGCCACTACATCGACGCGATGGGCGGCGAGCTCGGGGAAGACGATATCACCGAATACGTGGACCGGACGCTGCGAGCCGCGTGCAACACGCCGTACCAGAAGTGCCAACGGAACAACGACGTCTCGACGTTCCCGCGCGACAAGTACGCCGACGGCGACGACGAGTTCCAGCACAAGAGCTGGGCCATCGGCTGCGACTTCGCCGAGAAGTACCCGGACCTTCCCGAAGGATGCGACGCCGAATGCGACGGTGGAGACGGAGGAGGCGAAGGCGTCGGAGGCTGCTGCGGCGAAACCTGCAGCGGAAACTGCGACACTTCGAGGCTTATCTGCAGAGACGCGTGCGACTACTACTACGACCTCGCCGACGGCTAGGAGCTCTCTCACCCCCCGCCGGACGCGGCCGACCCAAGAGGCCCCCCCCCCGGCAACGCGACACCGCGCGGCGTCCGGCCGACCCAAGAGGCCCCCGCGCGCGACGCGCGCCGCCCCGCGCTCGCTAAGCTTAAGCGCCATCCTAGGCCGCCTCCTTACCCTCGGCCGCGGCCGCGCGGAGGGCGACGGGCGCGAGCGCGAGCGCGGCGGCCGTGAGCGCGATGTTGAGGTGGAACGGCGCGGCGGGCCGCGCGGCGCGGCGGCCCCAGACGTAGAGCTTCCCGTAGACGAGGGGCCCGAGGATCTTGAGGATGGCGACGAGGTTCGCGCGGTCGCCGCTGAGGCGGCCCTGGGGCACGCCCTTCCTGCCCGCGAGGGCCGTGAGCGACGTCGACGCGCCCAACGTCCGCGCGGGCCCGAGGAAGCCGACGGCCGCGGCGACCAGCGCCGCGCGGTGCGACACGCAGCAGCCGACCCAGAAGCCGAGGTTCGAGAGCGTCGCGACGGCCGTGAAGGCCTGGAGGCCCACGCGCTTCGCGAGGCGGCCGCCGACGACGTTGCCGACCGCGCCGAGCAGCGGGATCGCCGTGAAGAACGTCGCGACGGCCGACGGGCCGAGGCGCCACTCGTCGATGGCGAAGATCTGGAGCACGTCGCCCATGAAGATGGGCTGGAGCGTGATGGCGAGGAGGAGCGCCAGCAGCCGCATCTCGCGGCCGTCGGAGAAGAGGCGGTAGCACGACAGCGGGTTGAACGCGCCGAGCTCGAAGGGCCGCCGGTCGTCGAGCGTCTCCTCGACGTTCGCCGCCGCGAAGGCCACGGCGGCGGCCGACGCGACCGTCGCCGCGCCGTAGAGCGACCGGAGCGTCTTCCCCGGCAGCAGGCTGCCGAGCTTGATGCCGCAGGCGAAGCCGACGTTCACGAGCGCGAAGATCAGGCCCGACGTCGCCGCGAGCTGGCCCGGGTCGGCCTTGTACGCGTCGCCGAGCATCGCGCCGGACGCGAGGAAGTAGAGGCCGACGACGAGCGAGCCGACGAACTTTGTCACGAGGAGCGCGGGCACGGACGGGAACGCGCAGGCCAGGCCGTTCGCGCCGAGCACGGCGAGCAGCACGCCGAGCAGCACGGGCTTGCGGCCCTGGGAGTCGGCGAGCGCGCCGACGACGGGCGCGAGCAGGATCTCGCAGCCCGCGGACGCCGAGCCCACGACGCCCAGGAGCGCCGTCGCGCGCTCGCTGCCGAGCGCGTCGATGAGCGCCGGCGCCGGCGCCAGCGCGACGACGGCCACGGACAGCACGAACATGAAGCTCAAAGGCTTGAGCGCCCGCTCCGGCCGCACGGCGACGGCCACGCCGCCGCCGCCGCCGCGCGCCGCGACGACCGTCGCGGGCTTCCTGGGCGCGCGCAGCGACGACTTCGGCGCCACGAGCCCGTGGGCCTGCAACGCCGCAATGGCGAGCAATTTGAGGAACATGCTCGTTGCAACACGGCCCGTGCTTGCGGTGAACAGGGCGTGTTGCAACACTGCGAGTGGCGGAGTTCAGCTCGCTCGTCAGACCCCTCGGTGCGCTCGATGTGAGCCGGTAACTTGAAGTTCAAGTCGCTCTCGCGGGCACCCAGGGCTCCTGGGGAGGGGCGAGTCTTCGCTGCGGGAGGGTCGGAGAGAGTAAAAACACGAGGTGGTATTTCCGGGGGACCGCGCGAGGTCTCGAGAGCGCGCCGCGCGGCCGCGAAGTCCGCGCGGCGAGCGCCCGCGCGAGACGGCGGTCTGGCAGCCTGCCAGTACCAGTCCGAACGCAAACCGTGCGACCGCGATGACGGGGAGAATGGATCGAACCTCCCACGTGTCCACGCGTGGAGGGGACGACGGACAGGCCTACGGACGCGTCCTTTGCGTCGAGGCGTCGGCTGCGAAGCCCCTTCCGCCGTTGCGTCTGTGCAGATCGAGCAACAACTCACGCACGCGCCCGCGTCTCTCCGCTGAACTTCTACGTTCGTCGGGGTCTCTACGCCGTCGGGGGGTCGCTGCCGAAATGACCCCGCAAGACACGAGCGGAGAACGACGAGAGCGACGATTATTCTTCGTTCGGGGGTGACGATTTTTCGGCGTGATGAAGTTGCGGGGGGGGCGTCGGGCGCCGGGCGTCGGGTTCGCGCGGCGCGTCGTCGGACGGTTCGCGACGAGAGACGACGTGCGGGGGCGCGGCGAGGCGAGCGACCTCCTTCGCGAGCGAAGAACCGCCCCCGACGCACGTCGCGCGGAACGCTCGCCGCCCCGAAGAACCGCCCCGCCCTTCCCCGACGCAGGGACGCCATGTCGACCCGCCGCGCGCTCGGAGAAGTCACCTTCAACCTTGAGAACGAGGATGACAAGGAGAACCTGCTGATGAAGCCCCTGCGGACGCCCGTCGTCGCGTCGTACGACGACGACGAGCTCGAGGACGCGACGCCGTTCTCGGAGGCGCCGGAGACGCCGGCGGACGACAAGGAGGTCGAGGAGGAGGAGGAGGAGGCGGTCGTCGAGTCCCCCGCCGCGTCGCCGAGCGAGTGGGACCTGCTCGTCAACGAGGCGTCGGTCCGCGTCGGCGCGGCGGTGTCGCGGCTCCCGCCCGACGCGCGGCGCGTCGTCGACGCCGTCGAGGCGCGCACGGGCCTCACGGCGCTGAACCTCGTCGCCGCGGCCGCGGCCGTGGTGCCCTTCCTGTGCCTCACGGTCATGTGGACCTGGCGCCAGATCGCCGTCGCGGCCGTCGGCGGCGCCTACCCGGCGTTCCGCACGGCCAAGCTCCTCGTCGAGGTCGAGGCCGCCGCGCCGGACCCCGCGGAGGTCAAGCAGTGGGCGGCCTACTGGCTCTTCTGCAGCGCGTCCCTCGCGCTCCGCCACACCGTCGGCCTCAGCCTCCTCCCGCCCGTCTTCTACGTCAAGGCCGCGCTCCTCGGCTGGCTCGTGTCGTCGGACACGCGCGGCGCGAAGGTCGTCTGGGACGCGGCCGTCGAGCCCCTCGTCAAGCCCTGCTTCAAGCCCAAGGAGGCCTGCATGGCCCTCGTCGCGACGGGCAAGAAGGTCCGCCGCCGCATGTCCGCGTGCTTCTCGCCGTCGCCCGTGTCCTTCGAGGAGATCCACGCGGACTGAGCGCGCCAAGAAACCCCCCCCGCAAGCCCCCCATCCCGTGCACAAGAGACGCCGACGCACACGTAATGCGTCCGCCGCGCGTTACCGGGGCGCGCCGGCGCCGTGGCGCGCGAGCGCCGCGCGGCAGGCCGGCGCGTCGAAGGCGCGGTCCGCGGCGCGCGCGACGAGGAGCGCGAGGTCGCGGAGCTCGAGGCCGAAGGCGTCGCGGACCTTGAGGTACTCCGCGGCGAGGTCCGTGTCGAAGACGGCGGTGTCGTCCGTGCAGAGGCACAACGGCACGTCGAAGCCGCGGGCGAAGACGTCGCCGAGCCGCGGGTGGTCGCGGAGCGACGCGAGGCGCAGCGTCGCGACGTTCGACGACGGGCAGACCTCGACGAGGGGCGCGCCCGCGCCGCACAGGTCCTCGGGCGCGACGTGGAGCGCGTGGCCGAGGCGGCAGCGGCCCGGCGCTTCGCGCGCGACCGCGAGGATCCGCGACGCGTCGGCGTCGCCCCGGGGGCACTCGCCGACGTGGATCGCGAGGCCGAGGCCGTGGGCGTCGCGGCACTCGCGGAAGAGGCGCTCGAAGGCCTCGAAGGAGTGGCGGCTCGTCGGGTTCCCGCTGAAGTCGACGCCGACGACGAAGGCCCGCGCTCGCGCGTCGCCGCGCCGGAGGGCCGCGACGGCGGCGACCGTCGCCGCCGCGGCCGCGGGGCCCCGCGACCGGTCCACGGACGCGAGGAACCGCGGCGTCAGCGCGCCCGCGTAGGTCGCCATGACGTCGACGACGGTGTCCACGTAGTCGGCCTCCGTGCGTTCGCCGAGCGCGCGCGGCGTGGATCGGAGCTCCGCGTAGCAGCAGCCCGCGGCCTCGAAGTCCTCGAGCGCCTCGCGCGCGACGCGCCGCACGACGGCCAGCGAGTCGACGCATTGGTGGATGAGCGCGAAGATTTCGAAGCACGCCTCGAGCGTCCGAGGGCCGGCGAGGAGCGCGCGCGCGCCCGCGAGGCCCCGCGCCTCCGCGAGCTCGACGAGCGTCGACAGGCGGATGGACCCGTTCAGGTGGGCGTGGAACTCGACCTTGCCCATGGCGCGCACGGCGCGCACGACGCGCCGCCGGCGCAGGAGCCGGCGGAGCCCGTAGGCCGCGGCCGCCAGCGACGCCGCCGCGACGACGCCGACGGCGGCGCGCGGCGGCGACATCGATGCAGCGCTTGTCGTGCGGCTTCGCGAGCGAGGGATGCCGCTCGGCTCGATAGCTCGGCTCGATGGCTCGGCTCGGCTCGATGGCCCGGCTCGGCTTGCAAGGAGGAGGCCCTCGATGGCTGCCTCCGTTTTTAGCGACCACAAGTTCTTGAGGCGAAAATTGAGGCGCCTTGAAGCGCACTTGGCTCGAGCAACGATGGTGCTCGTGCGCGCCCTCGCGGCCCTCGTCGCGCTGCGGACCGCCAGCGCCCGCACGGTCGAATGGCACGGCATCGACGCGACGATCAAGGGCCGGTCGCTGCTGCGGTCCATCTCCGGCCGGGCGGAGCCCGGCCGGCTCCACGCCATCATGGGCCCGAGCGGCAGCGGCAAGTCGACGCTGCTCTGCGCTATCGCGGGCTGCTGCGACCGGAAGGTCGGCCTCCGTGGTGACCTGCGCCTCGACGGCGCGGCCGTGGACCGCGTCGACGCCGCGTTCGTCCGCCAGCAGGACGTCTTCTACCCGTACCTCACGGTCCGCGAGACGCTGACGTTCGCGGCGACGCTGCGCCTCGGCCGGGACGCGGACGTGCCCGCCGTCGTCGACGACTTATTACGAAAAACGGGCCTGGGCAAGGCCGCGGACTCCATCGTCGGCGACGACAAGGTCCGCGGCGTGTCCGGCGGCGAGCGGAAGCGTCTCGCGATCGCGTGCGAGCTCGTCGACGACCCGGCCGTGCTCTTCCTCGACGAGCCGACGAGCGGCCTCGACTCCTTCGCCGCCGCGCGCGTCGTCGCGAGCCTCCGGGGCCTCTGCGACGCGGGCACGACGGTGGTCTGCGTCATCCACCAGCCGTCGGGCAAGGTCTTCGACGCGTTCGACGACCTCACGCTGCTGAGCGAGGGCGAGCTCATGTACCACGGCCCGCGGCGCGGCGTCGACCGCGCGCTCGCGCGGCAGGGCGCGAAGCGGCCGGCCTTCTCGTCCGCCGCGGAGCACGCGGTCGCGGCCGTGTCCGTCGACTACTCGTCCGCGGAGACCGAGGCCGCGAGCCGCGCGGCGCTCGCGCGCCTCGCGGCCGCGGCGCGCGCGGCCGCGCCGGCCGCGCCGCCGCCGGCGGAGACGGCGCCGGCCGCGGCGACGCCGGCGCCGGGCCCGCCGCGGCGGCCCCTCGCGGAGCTCCGCCTCCTCTACCAGCGCGCGCGGCGCGACGTGTCGCGCGCCAAGGCCGCGACGGCGATCAAGGCCGCGCAGCAGGTCATGACGGCGCTGATCTACGGCGGCATCTACGACCTCGACGACTCGCAGCGGTCGATCCAGGACCGCTTCGGCCTCCTGTCGCTCTGCGTCATCGGGTCGACGAACCTCGCGATCGCGTCGACGATCCGCGCGTTCCCCAAGGAGAAGGCCATCGTCGTCCGCGAGCGCGCGCCGCGGTCGGGCCGGCCCATGTATGGTGCTTTCCCCTACCTGGCGTCCAAGGTCGCCGCGGAGCTGCCGCTCGCCGCGGGCCTGAGCTGCCTCTTCGGGGCCGTGCTCTACCCGCTCGCGAAGCTCCGGCGGTCCGCGCAGGCGTTCCGCACGTTCCTCGGCATCCAGGTGCTCAACTCGCTCGCGTCGGGCGCGCTCGGGCTGCTCGTGGGCGCCGTCGCGCCGTCGACGGACGCGGCGCTCGCGCTCTTCCCGCCCTTGATCGTCCTCATGATCATCTTCAACGGGTCGAACATCTCCGACGAGTCGACGCCGAAACCCATCAAGTTCCTGCCCAAGCTGTCCCTCGTGCGCTGGGGCTTCGAGGGCCTCGCGGTCAACGAGTTCGACGGCTTGTACTTCGAGTGCCAGAACCGGCGGGAGGACCTGCGCACGGGCCGCGACGCGCTCGCGCGCCTCGCCTTCGAGGACTCCACGGTGAAGAAGGCCTGCGTCGCCCAGGCCGCCATCCTCGGCGGCTGCTACCTCCAGACCTACCGCGCGCTCCGCTCCTCGCGGCCCGCCTTCGCCGTCATGAAGCCCACCCGCCGCTAAGGCTTTCTACATCGCTTAGAGCGCCTCAAAGAAAGGACCCGATCTCCGCCTTGAGGACGCGCGGGACCGAGTCCGGGACGCGGTCGCGGAGCAGCGCGGCGACAACGGGCGCGGCCTTGCGCTTCGCGGGAAGGCCTGCATGGGACACAAGCCACCACCCGTCGACGGTCACGCTGCCGCGCCGCGCGAGCTCGACGATAGCCTCGAGGCCGATGGTCACCGCGATCGCGACCGCGTTGGCGTCGTTGTCGTGGGCGAGGTCGCGCAGGGCCCATTTGGCCGAAATTGTGGCGTCCGCGCTCCCGTCGCGCACGAGCTCGACGAGCAGCGGGATGCCGCCGGCCTCAGCGATCTGGACCTGGTTGGCGGCGTTGTAGTACGCGAGCCTGCGCAGCGCGTTCGAGGCCCACGCCCGCGCGGCCCACAGTTTGGCGTCCGCGCTCCTGTCGCGCACGAGCTCGACGAGCGGCGGGATGGCGCCGGCCTCGGCGATCAGGACCTTGTTGGCGGCGTTGTTGAACGCGAGCTCGCACAGCGCCCGCGCGGCCTCCGAATTGGCCTCCGCGTTCCCGGCGCGCAGCAGGTCGACGAGCGGCGGGATGCCGCCAGCCTCGACGATCATGACCCTGTAGCTGTAACGGACCTCGGCGCCCACAGCGACGCCGGGCATCACCGCGAGGGTGTACAGCGCCCGCGCCGCCGCCGTCTTCGCTGCGTCGTCGCCCTCGCGCAAGGCGCGGACGTGTCCTGCGACGGTCTCCATGACCCCTCGACTCGTGATGGGCTGCACCTCGGAAGCTTGACGCCACGATGAGGCAAACGAACTGAAGCGCTCCTCGCTGCTCTCGAGCCCGGGTCGTCGTCGAGCGCGTCGTCGAGCACCGATCGCCCGCGTCGTCGTCGAGCAAGAATGGCGCCGCGGTCCAACAAGAAGCAGGCGACGTCGCGCGCGCCGCGCGCGGCGGACACGCACGCGCGCCAGCGCCTGCCGCCGCCCGTGTCGCGGCGCGAGCAGCAGCGGCTCTACGCGAACCAGCCTTCAAACATGACACGCGCAAAAGAGGCGCTCGGCGTCGCGGGCGCCTTCGCGATGCGCATCGTGCGGAACGTGGAGAACTGGTGGTTCTTCCTCTTCCTGCTGAGCGGCGGGAGCTACATGTCGCTCCTCGACGCGGCGCTCGCGCCGGCGGCGCTCGCGGGCGCGCGCGTCGACGGCGCGGCCGCGGCGTTCGCGGCCGTCGTGCCGCCGGCCGCCGTCGTCAAGGTGCTCGTCGACGGCCTCGACGGCGGCGACGCGGCGCTCTGGCGCGGCGATGGCGCCGCGGGCCAGCTGCTCTTCGGCGAGGCCGGCGCGAACCGGGTCTGGGTCCACGAGGACGGCTCGGGCCTGGTGCGCGTGGGCCACAGCGTCTTCCTCCAGGAGGCGGGCTGCGCGACGGGCTGCGACAAGCTCGCCGCGCCGGGCGCCGTCTGCCTCCTCGACTACGACGCCGACGGCCCCGACGGCGCGGGCGAGCCGGCGCTGCTGGCCTGCGAGCAGGGCGGCCGGCGCCTGAGCCGCGTGAAGCAGGACGGCGTCCGCGTGCCCGTCGCCTCCACGGACGCCGCGGGCGACGCGCTCAACGGGCCGTCGTCCGCGGCGCTGGGCCCCAACGGCACCGTCTTCTTCGCGGACGCGCACGCGTCCGCCGCCGGCGCGTCGAAGCGGCGCGACGCGACGCTCGCGGACCGCGGCGCGGCGGCCGACGGCGTCTACGCGCTCTCGAAGGCCCAGCTCGCGCCCCTCGTCGCCGACGGCGCCGGCGCCGACGCCGCGGCCGCGGCGCCGACGCGCGTCGCGGCCGTGCCCGGCACGCCCGAGGCGCTCGCCTTCAACGCCGACTACACCGCGCTCTACGTCGCCGACTCCGCCGAGGGCGCGGTCTTCGCCTTCGACGTCGACCCGAAGAGCGGCGCCGTCGACGAGGCGTCGCGGTCCGTCTTCTTCGATCTGGCGGCCGCGGGCGACGGCGACGATTTGGCGAGCCGCCGCGCGTTCCGGGGCCTCGCGGTCGACGCGCTGGGCCGCGTCTTCGCGACGGGGCCGCGCAAGGTCTACGTCCTCGGCGCGGACGGCGCGCTCCTCGGCGCCGTGGCCACGGCGGCGGAGCAGCCCGTCGACCTCGCCGTCGCGGGCGATGGGCATCTCTACGTCGTCACGGAGACCATGCTCCTCCGCGTGCCCCTCGCGCGCGGCGTCGCGCCGCCGAAGCTGCCCAAGTAAGCGTTACGCCGGGGTCTCAAAGTAGGCGACGACGGCCGCGACCTCGGCGACGCGCGCCCTGCCGAGGTCGAGGCCGCCGAGCGCCGCCGCCGCTTCGGTGGTGGCGCCGCTTGCCGCGAGGCGCATGACGTCGAGCGCGGCCGCGGGCGCGCCGTTGGTCGCTAAAACGGCCGAGAGGTTGCGCGCCGCGGCGGAGGACCCGGCGGCCGCGCCGCGCGCGTAGCGGCGCGCCGCCGTGAGGTGGTGGCCCGCGCCCTGGGCGAGGACGCCGAGCGCGTTCTCCGCGTCGCCGCAGGCGCCGGGCCGCGCGGCCGCGGCCGCCTCGTAGCGCGCGGCCGCGGCGGCCGCGCGGCCGCGGTAGCGCGCGAGGTCGCCGAGGCGCAGCTGGCAGCGGTACGCGCCGGCGGCGCCGGTCCGGGCCAGCAGCGCCTCGTAGACGGCGGCGGCGCGCGCGAGCGTGCGCCGGCCGCGGCGGCGCTTGCGGCGCGTCGCCCGGCGCCGCGTCGCCGCGACGCGGTCGTGGAAGCAGGCCTTCCAGAGCGCGCGCTCGAGCGCGTCGAACTTGTCCGGCGGCGCGGCTTCCAGTGGGCTCAGGAACTTGGCCAGGCGCGCGGCGTCGAGCGTTATTGGGGTCGTGTCGGCCATGCTAGATGGAGATGCTAGATGGCCATGCCCTCAGGTCGTCCTTTACGGGCAACGCTGCCTTCACTGAGGCAATGCCACAAGATTTTAGCGAGGAGCCTGAGCACACTGTACAGCAGCCATGTCGCAGCCAAGCAAGCACGAGGCCTGGGTGCCGCTGTTCAAGGTGCAGGTGTTCTTCAGCTGCGTGAGTTTCAGCATCATCGTGCCGAGCATCGCCAATACCTCGACCGCATGGGCGCCGAGGAGTACGTGCTCGGCGTCGCCGTCGCGGTCTACAGCCTCGGCGAGATGGTCGGGTCGGCCGTCTTCGGCCGGGCCATGACGCGCGTGCTCCGCAGCGACCCGGACGTGGGCCCGCGGACCGTGCTGCTGCGGACCATCGTCTTCGGCGTCGTCGGCAGCGCGCTCTACGTCGCCGCGGACGACCTCGGCCAGCGGCCCGCGTGCCGCCCCTACGCGCCCTGGGTCGTCGTCGCCGCGCGCTTCCTCGGCGGCGTCTGGACGGGCGGCAAGATGGTCGTGGAGCAGACGTACGTGGGGGTGGCGGCGCTGGAAGAGCGCGTGACGCCTCTGACGTCGGACATCGGCGTCTTCGCGGTCCTCGGCTTCGTCGCCGGGCCCAGCGTCGGCGCGCTCTTCGCGCCCGTGGACTTCGCTGTCGGCGACGTCCGCGTGGACCAGTTTACGGCGCCGGGCTGGTTCATGGTCTTCCTGACGGTCGCGATGTGGTTCGGGTGCCGCGCGTGCTTCGACCCGGCGAAGGGCTACGCGCGGCCGCTGCGGCGCCTCGCCTCCGACGACGCGTTGACCCTCAACAAGGCCGCGGCCCTCGGCAGCCCCGCGCTCGGGCGGCGCCGGGACGAGGAGGCGGCATCGGCGGAGGCCGCGGCGCCGAGCCGGACGGGCCTCGTGGTCTGCCTCGTCGCGTTCTTCGCGCACTTCTACTCCTTCGCGATCCAGGAGACGATCACGACGCCCTTCGTGACGAAGCGCTACGCCTGGTCCCAGGCGGCCGTGAACTACCTCTTCGCGGCCGTGAGCGTGCTGTCGTTGGTTACGTCCGTCGCCGTGAGCCGCCTGTCCAAGGCCGGGATCCGCGACTTCGACCTGCTGGTGCTGAGCCTCGTGCTCGGGCTGAGCGGGTCGTTGCTCCTGATCGACGCGCCCCTCTTCCCCGCGCTCGGCGAGGGCCGCTTCCTCGCGGGCTTCGCTTTGATCACCGTGGCCTTCCCCTTCGGCCGCAACGTCGCGCTCGCCATCTTCTCCAAGGTCCTCGGCCCGGCGGAGCAGGGCGAGTGGATGGGTTTGATGTTCGTCGTCGGCGCGCTGCCGCGGTGCCTGGGCCCGTCCTGGAGCCTCTACGCGCTCCAGCTCGCCTGCGTCGCCTTCCCGGAGCCCGCGCCGTGCCCGCCGGGCGGCCGCACGTGCCTCGAGTTCGCGCTGTCCGGGCTCGTCTTCGCGGCGTCCCTGGGCGCCGTCGCGCGCTATCGGACCGCCCTCGCGCCCTACGGCGCCGAGGCCGCGGCGGGGGAGAGCGCACCCCTGACCGTAAATTAGCCCGGGCGGAGGTCGAGCGTGGTCCGCGTCGCGTTCGCGGAGGACTCGTGCTCCTTGCGCGTCTTGACGATGGCGAGGTGGGGCCGGCCGGCCTTGAGCTTCTCGAGGCCCGCCTTGGACTTGGTCCGGCACCGGCTCGGGTCGCCGTGGAGCGTGCCCGCCTTTGTTTTTTTGTTTGACTGGGAGCCCGTCCGCGCGGCTCCCGGCGACGAACCCGGCGGCGCGGCCGACGCGCCGTAGATGTCGACGTGCGTGAGCCGCCGGCAGTGGTCCACGAAGCGGTGGAGGAAGGGCTCGGGAAGCCGGGCGCAGTGGGCGAGCGACGCGACGCTCAGGGGCAGGAGCGAGCCCCGGAGTAGAGCGAAGGGCTCCAAAGACGCGCAGCCGCCGAGGTCCAGATGCGTCAGCCGCGGCAGGTTCGCGTCGAGGCGCCGTAGACCGTCGCAGCGCGGGAGGCACAGCGCCAGGAGCCGCGGCGCGTCGAGCACCAAGGCGTCGACGCCGTGGCACGCGTCGAGCTCGAGCGCCTCGAGGTTCTCGAAGACGAGCGTGTTCCGCGGCAGCTCCGGGCCGCCGTCGTCGTCGCGGTCCCGGCGCCGCCCCCCGAAGTCGCTCCGCGCGTTGCCCGGCGAGCTCCCCGGCGACGACGACAGGGCCGACGTCGGCGTCGGCGACCGGCTCAGGCGCGCGTCGCCCTCGGACTCGTAGTCGCTGTGCGACTCGTCGGGGTCCCGCGCGGCGCCGCCCGGCGACGAGCCCGGCGGCGCCGCGAGCCCGCGCCTTCTGCGAAACTCGTCGACGTCCTCGAGCAGTTCCAAGAGCGGCCGGAGCTTGCGCTCGGACTTGTGCGCCTTCGCGCAGAAGCCGTGCGCGAACTCGCAGTCGCGGTTCCAACAGCGACCCGCGAGGAACCGCGCGCACGCGGCCCGGCCGCTGTTCCTGTCGCTCGGCAGCGTCGACGCGACCTTGGCGTAGCGCCGGTACTCGGCGCCGCGCGTGTCCGCGAGGCGCCGCATCAGCGCGGCGACGGGGCCGTCCTCGTGGCCGGGGCAGCCGACGTGGCATTGGAGCAAGGGGTCGAAGCGCTCCTTCGTCGCGGACCGCGACGCCTTCGCGGCCTTGCCGCTGGACCGGCGCCGCTCGGACGAGGGCGGCGTCGCGTTCGGCGGCGTGCCGCGCGGTGGAGCGTCCGGCGTCCTCGAGGGCGCGGACCGGGGCCGCCGCCGGGCCGCGTCGTCGAACGCGGGCTGGCGCAGCGGCGTCGACGCCGCCTCGCTGAAGCGCACGCTGCCCCGGGGCGCGCGCGCCTCGTCGAGGTCGTCGAGCTCGAAGAGGGGGTCGCCCTCGTCGTCGTCGTCGTCGCCGCGGCCCGCCTTGACGGGCGTCATCTCGCCGAAGTGGCCTGGGCGGGAAAAGAGTGCGAAATTCCCAACTTCAAAGGCTCCTCTCTCGGTCATGTTCCACTCGTTTCGGCTCATTCTTGGACGAGCGATGATCTCTCGGAGCGCTCTCGAAGCGTGGATCCTTTCTCTGGAACGATCGCGCGCGGAACCCTCACGTTGAAGCGACGTTGAATCACGCGTTTCCCGCTCCGGAAGTGGCCGTCGGACGTCGCGGAGAGCTTGCGGTCGCTCTCGCGCGCGGACGCCGCCGCGAACGCGCCGTCGTCGACGAGCGCGCCCCGGAGCGCCGCGCAGGCCGCGAGCCGCAGGCGCCGCAGCGCCGGGCACGCGACGGGCAGCGCCGAGAGGTGCTTGGCGCCGAAGTCGCGCGCGGCGACCAGCTCGAGCACGACGAGCCCGTCCAAGTGGGGCGCCGCCGCGCCGAGATAGGCCGCGCGCCGCGCCGCCCGGCCGCAGAGCGCCGCGCCCAGCGACAGGCCCGCGTCGCCGGGCACGGGCGCGCGCGCGACGGCCGGAGCGTCGCCCGTCTCGTCGAGCGTCAGCGACTTGAGCGCGGCGCCGCCGCTCGAGCTCACGGCCGCGAAGGCCGCCGCGAAGGCGTCCGTCGGCGCGCGCAGGCGCCGGAGCGCGTGGAAGTCGCGGGGCGCCGCCTCCGCGTGGGCCCGGTCGCCGAAGCCGCCGCGGCACCGCGCGCACGTCAGCTCCGCGAGCACGGGGCAGTGCGGCCGCCGGTCCGGCGCCGCGCACGCGAGGCGTTTCACCACGCAGCGGTCCAGGCTCAGGGCCACGAGCTGGTGGCACCGTTCCAGGAGGACCTCGCCGAAGACGACGTGCGACACGTGGAGCGACTCGAGGCGCGGGGCCCGCAGCACGCAGTCGTCGTCGTCGCCGTCGCCGCCGGGCGGCGCCGTGCGCGCGAGGGACGCGGTCTTCAACGTCGCTTCCAACGTGCGCAGGGCCAGCGCGACGTGGGCCGCCGCGAGGCTCGGCGACGCGAGGTTCAACGTCCGCAGCTTCAGGCGCCGCGTCGAGGACGCGCGGGTCGCCGCAGGTCACGGACACGTGCTGGAGCCGCGGCAGCGCCCCGAGCGCCGCGACGTCGCCCAGCGCCGGCGCGGACGCCGCCGGCAGGTCCGCGCCCCAGCCGCCGCGCGCCTCGAACTCCGACACGGAGGCGGGCACCTTCGCGACGAGCGCCGCCAACCAGTCGTCGCGGACCTCCCGCCTCGCGTGGCCGACCAGGGCGACGCGCAGGCTCCGCAGGTTCGACCCCCGGAAGGGCGCGTCGAAGGGCGCGAGGTCCGCCAGCGATTCCGCCAGCGCGAGCTCCACGTCCGCCGCGTCGTAGACGTCGTCGGTCGTCGCGTCGTCGCCGTCGTCCCCAAAGTCGTCGTCCGCGGCCAGGAGCGCCAGCGCCGCGTCGCGCCGCGCCGCCGGCGCCGCGCGCGGCGCCGGCCGCCGCAGGTCGACGCGCACGGACGCCAGCGCGAGGCCGGACGTCGCGAGCGCGTACCATGTTGGCCCGGCCTCGAGCGCCGCGCACCGCCGGCAGCTCAGGTCCCGCAGGCCCGGGCACCCGCCGAGGACGCCGCCGAGGGCCTCGTCGCCGAAGTGGGCGCAGCCGTCGACGTTGAGGCGCGTCAGGCGCGCGCAGCCGCGCGCCGCGTCCGCGAAGCGGGGCCCCGCGCCCGTGCCGCAAAAGTCGACGCTCTCGACCGTCGCGGCGACGGCGGCCGCGAGCGCCGCGGCGGCGCCGTCGCTGACGGCCGGCGCGTCGCGGAATCGTAGCTCCCTGAGCGTCGGCGCGCAGGTGGCTAAAGCATCGGCGAACCTTCCCTCGGCCTCGCGCGCGCCGCTGACCTTGAAGGCGACGAGGCCGACCTGGGCAGGAAAAGGGTGCGAAATTCCCAACTTCAAAGGCTCCTATCTCGGTCGTTTCCCGCTCGTTTCGGCTGATTTTTGGACGAGCGATCATCTCTCGGAGCGCTCTCGAAGCGTGGGTGCTGTTTCCTAAACGCGCGCGCGCGGAACACTTGTATAGAACAGAGCTTGAATCACTCTTTTCCTGCTCCGAGGCCGACGCCGTCGACGGCGCGGAGCACGGACTTGAGCTCGCCGTCGCCGACGCCCGCGAGGCTCGCGGCCTCGCCGTGGGCCGCGGCGCGCGCGCGGCCGAGGAGCGCCGACATCTGCCGCCGGCGCGCCGTCCGCGACCGGCCCGCGTCGGACCGCGCGGAGGGCGCGGACCGCGGCGCGACGTCGTCGCCGAAGCCGCCGCCGCCGCGGTCGACGTCGTCGTCGTCCCGCGCGGACGGCCCGCCGAAGAGGCGGCTCCACGTCGCCGGCACGACGCCGCCCTGGCCGCCGCCGAGCCCCGCCGCGCGGACCTCGATCGCCGTCACCGCCGCGCCGCCGCGCTCGCGCTCGTGGAGCGCGCGCGTCAGCCACCGCGCGAGCGTCGCCCCGAAGTGGGACGGCCAGCCGACGACGACGCGCCCGCAGAGCGCCGGCAGCGCGCGCACGCCCTCCGTGACGCCGCGCTCTGTGACGCCGAGCGGCACGGACCCGAGCTCGAGCGAGCAGACCTCCGAGCCCGGCGCGAGCGCCGCGCGCGCGAGCGCGTCGCTCAGGCGGTCGCTCTCCGCCGCGTAGGCCCAGAGGCCCTCGAGCACCGACGCCGGCGCGAAGCAGAGCTGCTGGGCCAGGAGCGACGAGCCCTCGGCGTCCTGCGAGATGCACGCGACGACGCGCCGCGCGCACATCTCCTGCAGGTCCCGGATGCGCCAGGACTGGGACGACATGGACGCGTCGTCGAGGAGCGCTGCGATCCGGTTAGGTCCCGCAGGTCCGGGCGGGTGCGGTCGGGATGTCCATCAGTGCATCTGTGAACATCTTGGAACAGATTGTGAACTCGGCACTGTCCTGTGCAACAACGGACGGTGCAGGCGAGCCAAGCGCTTGGGCTGCCGGTCGGCTTCGGCGGCCCCGGCTGCGCGTCTCGCGGCGTGGTCGCATCGCGCCGCGGCAGCGTCGCGCAGAGATGCGCGCCTCGTGCTGCCTCATCCTGGCGGCCCTGCTCTGCGCGCGCGGCGACGACTTCGACGACGTCGACGGCGACCCCTACGACCTGCTGGGCGTGGCCTACGACGCGACGAGCGAGGAAGTGAAAAAAGCATACCGCACGCTCGCGAAGCGCTGGCATCCCGACAAGGTCGCGGCGAACAAGCCGCGCGCGACGAAGCAGTTCGCCAAGCTTTCGCGCGCGTACGAGGTCGTCGGCGAGAGCCGGAGCCGGCGCAAGTTCGACAAGCGGGCCCGGGCCAAGGCGGCGGGAAGCCCCCGCCTTCGACTTCGACGACCTCCGGCCGCCGGGCGTCTTCGGCAGGCAGAAGACGACGCTGCCCCCGAAGCGGACCATGTTCGAGCGCGGCGGCTTCGGCGGCGTCGGCCGCTTCGACGAGAGCTTCGTGCCGTCGTGGACGAAGCGGGGCACGCGCCGCGTGACGCGCGTCGGGAAGACGGTGCTCCCCGACGGCACGGTCGTCGCCGAGGGCCAGGACTACGAGCTCCGCAACGACCAGTGGTTCGAGGTCGGCAAGCCCTACGCGTGGACCGACGACGCCAAGTCGTCGAAGCTCGGCGCGCGCCTCGAGCCCGCGAAGCCCCTCTTCCTCGGCGACCGCCTCGTGAGCCGCGACCGGAGCCACGTCTTCGAGCTCGAGATCGACGGCAACGCGCGCGTCCGCGAGGTCGGGAGCCGGACCGTCGTCTGGGAGACGGGGTCGCGCGCGACGGCCGCGGCCGGCGGCGACGGTTTTTTGCTGCTCCAGCGCGACGGGAACCTGCTGCTGTGCAGCGGCCAGTCGCCCAAGTCGCTCGACTCCGTCGTCTGGGCGTCCAACTCCGCGGACTCGGCCGCGGACGGCAGCTTCCTCGAGCTCAACGAGCTCGGCGAGCTCCTCATCATGCGGCGGACGGCGGACAACGCGTACACGTCCTGCGCCTGGGGCAGCGCGGGCTGCGGCTACACGCTCCGGTCGACGTCGAACTCCATCCGCGTCTACATCCGGAAGCTCTTCAGCCCCGGCGCGCTCCGGCGGGCGCCGACGAAGGAGCCGTCGGTCCTGGCGAGCATCATGGTCTTCTTCCGCTTCATGATGGGGTTCCCCACGTAACTTCCATGCCACTTAGCTAGCACGGCGGCCACCTCGCGTCCGCGGAGGGGCCCCGCGGCCTCGCGCCGCCGGAGGTGCGCGAGGACGTGGGGCGTCTCCGCGACGGCGAGGAGGAGGTCCTCGAGCGTCAGGTGGCCGTCGCCGGCGTCCGCGTCGACCCACGCGAGCGACGCGGAGAGCGCGTCGTCGACGGGGACGTGGACGCGCGCGAGGACCTGTGTGGATTCCAACCACTGGTTTAAACTTCAGAACTCTCTACAATTGTAGCTCGGTCAAATCGAAGTCGATTCGGCTGATTTTTGGACGAATCGATTGCTCTCGTCAAGTTCTCGAAGCACAGCGAAAGAGTCTGGTCCAAACCGTTCGTTTACGCTCACATTGAAGTCGGGTTGAATATTTGAATTCCACGCGCGCGAGGACCCGGTCCGCGTCGCGGGATCGCAAAACGCGCGGGCCCCGGCCGTCGTCGTAGGCCGCGAGCACCGCGTTGTAGGCCGCGACGAGGTTCGCGCGGAACCGCGGCGGCAGGTTGTCGCGCGCGGCGCGGAGCCGCGCCTCGCGCGCGCGCGCGGCCGCCGCCGTCGTCGCGCGCGACACGCGGCGGTACTCCTCGCCCGGCCCCCGCTCTTCGATCGCGGCCCAGTCGACGGCCTCGCGCCGCTCGTCGTCCTCGGCCCGGAGCTCGAGGACGGCCACGGCGTAGGTCGGGTCGTTGCGGCTCGCGTTCCAGTGCAGGCGCTCCGAGTTCGCGGCGAAGATCGCCTCCATGCGCGGGAACGGCACGCCCATGCGCAGGATCGGGTTCTGCGGCTCGCGCGCGACGCGCGTCTCGTCCTCCCGGTCCTCGATGGCGAACGCGATCTTCTCGACGCGCTCCTTGCTGTGCTTCAGGCCCGCCGCCTCCCGCGCCGTCTGCACGCCGTCGATGGCCCGATCCGTCGCGCCTTTGAACTTATCGGCGACGTAGTTGAGGGCGTCCATATCGCGCCGTGTATTTTTACCTTTGATGCGTGTAGGGCGCGCGGTGGCGAGCGCCTCGATCGGGGGCCTCGAAGAGGCCGAGGCGACGAGGCGCACGCCGATTTTACCTCAGGCTCAGTCGGTCGCTTGGCGAGCGCTTGGGTGAGCCGGCTCAGGGATGTAGACGCGGCGTTTAGGTAGCGCCGAACGAGACGCTGTGATTACACTATGAGCGCGCCGCCCAAAGAAATAATCGAGGCTGCTATACGGGGTGATGTCGACGCGCTGCGAAACTGGTTCGCGACTGGAAATCGAGACGCAAATGCCGTCTTTGATTTCTGTGATTGGGAACACGGTGACGAAGACGAAGACCATCGGGCCACTCTCTTGCATTGTGTCGTCCTACGAGATCCGTTTTATCGGTCTGATGCAACTGATGCGGTCCGCCTTCTGCTTGAGTACGGCGCTGACGTGAATACGGCGACGGAATATGAAAATCAGGTGATCGGGTGGTGCGAGTTCCCGCAAGAGATGAACGTGCTGCTCGATGGCGGCGCTGATATCCACGCTCTTATGGATGGTATCATCTTTCGTCATCACGGCCTCGCGCTCGCAAAAGTCGCTTTGCGTCGTGGCAGACTTTGGGATTTTGAAAGTGGCGTTTGGAAGGGCATTGTGGATGGCTACTATGACACAGCTCTGGCTACAAATCCAAAAACTGTAAAGGACTTCATTCGCGAGTTCAAGTCCGCCGGCAGCTGGAAAGCGTACGCGCGGCAACCGCGCGTCGAGCTCGTGCGACTCCGCTCGCTCTGCGCGCGCGGCCGCGCGACGCCGCCGCCGGAGCTCGAGCGCCTCTTCGACTGCCCGTCCTCGGTCACGACAAAGGCCAAAGCCGCGCGCGCCGCGCGCCCGCTGCCGAAGGAGGTCTTCTGGCTCGTGCTCTCCTACTGGCGCTCGAGCCGGGACGACTGAGCAGCACGCAAACCAAGACAGCCTCCTAGCTAAGAATACAGATTACGCGCACGACGGGCTCCGGGGTAGTCCATGTGCCGACGGTGTCTTTTTACCTTTGATGCGTCTACACGTCGGGAGGCTGTCGGGCGCCTGGCGAAAGTCGACGTCGAATTTCACCACAGCAAGCTCTTTGGCTTAGGCCCCGGGCCATCTCCGGGCCGCTCGAGCCGCGGTGGAGCCTGTGCCACGAGGCCGGAGACACGGTGATTAAGATGAGCGCGCCGCCCAAAGAAATAGTCGAGGCTGCTATGCGGGGCGACGTCGAAACGCTGCGAGACTGGTTCGCGACTGGCAACCGAGACCCAAATGCCGTCTTCGATATTGAAGGTTTGGCAGAGTCTGAGTCTGATAGTGAGGACAACAACCCCTGGAACGGCAGTCTGTTGCATTGCCTAACCTACCCAACTCCTTGTTTACGCTCTGATGCAAGTGACGCGATCCGTCTTGTCCTGGCGCACGGCGCCGACCCGAATCTTCAAAATCGAGAGGGCGCGCCGCCCATCCATTGGTGCGAGTTCCCGGAAGAGATGAGCGTGCTGATCGATGCCGGTGCTGATATGAGCGGTCTTCAGGATTTCGGTCTCCTTTTTCGTCATCACGGGCTCGCGCTCACAAAACTCGCTTTACGTCGTGGCCTGCTTTGGGATTTTGACGATTGGGTTTGGAAGAAGGTTTCGGCTGGCGAATACGTAGGGCTCATTACTAGTCATGCTGAAACGCCAGAAACCATAATGGCCTTCATTCGCGAGTTCACGTCCGCCGGCAGCTGGAAAGCCTACGCGCGCCAACCGCGCGTCGAGCTCGTGCGGCTTCGCTCGCTCTGCACGCGCGGCCGCGCGACGCCGCCGCCGGAGCTCGAGCGCCTCTTCGACTGCCCGTCCTCGGCCACGACGAAAACCAAAGCCGCGCGCGCCGCGCGCCCGCTGCCGAACGAGGTCTTCTGGCACGTGCTCTCCTTCTGGCGCTCGAGCCGGGACTGAATAAGATCTAAGACTACAGATTACGCGCACGACGGGCTCCGGGGCAGGTCGAAGCACTCAAAGTCGACGGCGACGAGGTCGCAGACCGTGCGGTTCGCCGCCGCGGACAGGCGCGCGACGCTCGCCTCGAGCGCGGCCTCGCAGGGCGTCCCTTTCGACTCGTGGTACTTCTCCGGCGCCGCGGCGCCAAAGGCCGCGGCGAGGTCGTCGCCGAGGTGCGCGAGCTCGCCGACGAAGGCCAGGGGGAGCGGGTCGTCCTCCCCGGCGACGGGGAGCCGCGCGTCGACCTTGAGCGCCTGGGGCCACGCGTGGAAGAAGGGCTCGCCTGTGTGGAAATCAACCTCTGGTTTGGGGGGTCCCCACCAAACTTCAGAACTCTCTATCTCAATCAAATCGAAGTCGATTCGGCTGATTTTTGGACGAATCGACTGCTCTCATCGAGTTCTCGAAGCACGGCGAAAGAGTCTGGTCCAAATCGGTCGATTACGCGCACATTGAAGTCGGGTTGAAGATTTGATTTCCACACAGGGGCTCGCCGAGGTAGCGGCCCGCGGCCATGTCGTCCAGAAGCGCGGCGACGCCCGCGTCGCTCGGCCGGTCGTCGCGCGGGAGGCGCAGGAACGTGCTGTTCCTGCCCTTCTCCTCGGGTCGCCGCTCGTTGCAGACGGCCTGGCGCACGCCGGCCCAGAACACGTGCACGGGGTCGTGGACGAACGTGAACGCGACGGCGTCGCCGCGCGCGGGCGCGACGGGGCCCTTGGCGCGGTGCCGGCTGCAGGTGCGGCCGTCCCAGGCCGCGCACTGGTCGCCGAGGCACGCGCAGCGCGCGTCGACGTCCGCGCCGAGCACGCGGCCGAGGTCCTTGGCGAACGTCGTCGAGCCGGCCTTTTGGTTCGCGACGTAGAAAAGCTCGACGTCGTCGTTGTCGCCGGTACCGCGCAGGGGCTCGGCGACGGCGGCGCGCGGCACCGTCGCCGCGAGCACGAGCGTCGTCGCGTGGGCGCCCGGCGCGGCCCAGCCCTCGACGACGGCGGCCCGGGACCGCCGCGCGGCGACGCACGCGGGCCGCGCGAACGCGCGCGCGCGTTTGGCGCCGCGCGCCGCGCGGGACGCGTCGGCGGGCCGCGGCGGCGTCGTCGCGTTTTTGTTGTGTGTTTTGTGTTTCGTCGACGCGACCGCCGGAGGAACCGCAGAAGGAACCGCCGGAGGAACCCCGGGCGTCGTCGCGTTCCCCGCGGTGGCCCCGTAGCCGTGGACGGCGCAGAGGTCGCTGACGCTGAAGGGGGCGCCGCGGCCCCGTTGGTCCGCCTGGTCGGCGATGCCCAGGAGCCCGCCCTTCATCTTCGTCTGCTTCGTCGGCTTGGGCCGGACGCCCTCGCCGAGGAGCGCGCGCCAGCTGTCCGCGCGCGCGGCCTCGTCGGCCTTGTCCGGCGGGTTGCAGGCCTCGCCCGCGACGAGGCGGTCCGCCTGGAGGTAGAGGACGCCGATGCCCATGGCGGGCCCCGCGTTCTTCGTCGCGTGGGCCCACCCTTCCGGCACGAGCATGAGATCGCCCGGGCCCTGGTCGCACTCGAACTTGGGCCCGCCGGCGTCGACCCAGGCCCGCGTCGGCTTCGCGGACACGGCGTTGTCCGCTGGTGGTGCTAAATACCACTTCTTCGTGCCGAAGACGAGCAAATTGTAGGCCGCGTCGTGGAAGTGGACCGTCGCGCCCGCGTCGTCGCCGCCGGCGAAGAGCTGGACGTGGCGCCAGAAGACGAAGGCGTCCCTGAGCACGGGCAGGGGCGCCGCGGTCTTGGGCCCCTTGAAGGCCTCGGGCAGGTTGCGCAGCACGGGCTCGCCGATGAGGGCCTCGGGCGCGCCCGCCTGCGCGACGCAGACGGGCTTCACGCCGTTGGCGCATACCGGCGCGGGGCCGTTCGCGAGGTCGTCCATGGAGAAGACGCCGCAGGCGTCCTGCTGCGTCATCCAGGGGTACGCCGTCGCGCCGCAGCGCGACTTGTTCCGCGCGCCGTCGGCGACGTCGCGCGCGCCCCGCCCGAGGAACGCGCAGCGGTCGCGGAGCGGCATGGCGCCCCGGACGAGCACGGGCCGGCTCACGGACGCGTAGTCGCGCACGAAGGCCTCGGGCGTCAGGTCCGCCGCGTCGACGACGTCGAGGTCGCAGGTCCGCGGGACGTCGGCGTCGATGGCCCAGCCGCCGCCCTCGGCGCACGTCGCGTCGCCATCGTCGGCCGGCGTCCGGGGCGTCCCGCCGGCCGGCGGGCGGTCTCCGTCGCGCGCACGGGCGCCGTCGGTGCCCCGGCGCTCGCGGCGCTCCTCCTCGCTTTCGCCGGAGTGCCGGGGCGTCCCGCCGGCCGGCGGGGGCGCGGCGGCGCGGCGGCGGCGGCGGCGCGCGGGCCAGCCCGCGAAGGCGTCGGCGACCTCGGCCGGCGTCACCGAGAACCCCCGCAGTTCCGCGTCGCTCCGGAGCCGCGCCGCGATCGCCCGCGCCTTCGGGTCCGCCTTGTCGAGCGCGCCGGCGAGCGTCTTCAGCACGCCGACCTCCCCGCGCCGCGCCGCGATGTCGAGCGGCGTGACGCCTTTCCACGTCGCGAGGGGATCCGCGCCCGCTCTCAGAAGCGCCGCCGCGGACGCGCCGAGGCCGTGCGTCGCCGCGACGTGGAGCGGCGACGCGCTGGCGCCGCTCGGCCGCGCCGCGAGCGCCGGGTCCGTCGCCAGGAGCGCGGCGAGCGCCGGAAGGAGTTTCGCCTCGAGGCGTGCGACGACGTCGCTCCGGCGGAGATGCGAGCCGCCGCCGAGCTGAGAATCAGGCCGCTCGGGGAGGAACCAGGGCGCCAAGGTCGCGATCGTCGACGCGCGGCGGATCTGGAAGCCGTCTAATAGCGCATGAAACGACCGCGAGGCGTCGGCGGCGTCGGACGCGGCGCCCGCCGCGACGAGGGCCTCGATGCCCGACGCGTTGTGCCGCGCGCAGGCCACGTGCAGGGCGCTCCGATCGTCGGGTACTGGCGTTCGACTGGCGGCCGCATGCGCGATTAATATCGGCGCGAAGACACGCATCGGCTCCTGCTGGGCAAATGTCCACAAATTTCGTCGACGCGTCGAGCGAACGCCGAGGCCCGCAGGCCTACTCCTACTTGTACAACCGTAGGTCTAGTAGGTCTAGAGGTTATCAGTGCGCGAGTACTGGGGAAACAGCGGCCGCAGCACTTCTTGTACTTCTTCCCGCTGCCGCAGGGGCAGGGGTCGTTGCGTCCGACCTCGGGGATACTCGCGCGAACCTCCGGAAATAGGTGAGCGGCCGCGGCGTCGGGCCCATGTTCCAAGCGGCAGGCGCCTCCGATGCACTGGCGACAACTCTCGCACGTCGACCGCGGCACCGCGCAGTTCTTCGCCGAGAAACATATCACAGACCCGCGCACGACTCCAAAATCCGCGAGAGTACCCGTCTCCATGAGCTCGAGGTCGAGATCATCATCGTCCAGCGTCAACCCCCCCGAAGTTGTGAGCGTCTGAGCACCCAACGGGACTCCAAAGCGGCGGCGGATCTTTCGTTTCACGTCGTCCACGGAATAGGTGTAGTGCAAGCAGAGAGGGAAGCATATTCGAGACGAGTTCGAGTCGTCCGTCCACAACACGCTCGCGATCCAGGTCGTCTCACCGCGGTATTTCCGGGCGAGGCCGTTCGCACAAAACTGCTTGTGCGAGACCCAGTGAGTCCTTTGACACTCTCGAGAACAGTAGAAAGCCGCGTGGCAGCACTCGCACATCTTCTTTCCGTCGACTCTAGCCATCGGATGCACAAGTCCCTCGTCGTCCGGCGCGGGAACACATCTCAACTCGCACATCCGAGAATTTAATGCCTCAAGCGCAGCGGGCTCGTCGAAATCCTCCTTCAACTCTAATATGTCACATATATCCGGACTATATTTAGTTGCGTAGTGATTTTCGTGGTCGTCTCTTCGCATCTGATCCATCTTGTCCGAAACGTTCCTCGCAAACTCGTTTGTAACAAACAGGTCTCCCATGATTTCATCCATGTTTGCGTACTGACCGAGGCTGATGGGGGGCTCCGTGAACGAAAACCTCGTCCGGCGGAGCGGGCCGCCTCTCTTCGCCTGCAAATTGGCCAAGCTCGAATTACCACAAGCGCTTGGTCCAAGCCTTTGGAACGGGACTCGTCGGGAGGCAATCTTCCTCTCAGGAGCTTCATCACGGCACCGAGATCATAGGTGCGATAGCTTGTAAAAATCGGGGGAGGGGCGCGGCGCGCGCGCGGGCCTCGGTGCGTCGGCGGGCGTCGCGCGCGGGGAGGGGCGCCTAGCCCTTGCCGTCCTTCCACTGGTAGAACTCCGTGGGCGCGTGGGAGAGCTTGCACTCCTCGTTGGCGCCGACGAACATGTGGCGCCACCACATCTGGCCCGCGTCCTGGGCCGTGCCGCGGCGGAAGTCCTGGAACTTGGTGAGCTGCATGACGAGGATCGGCGCCTGGAGCGCGTGGCCCTTGCACGACCGCGGCTTGGAGATGTGCCAGATGGAGTCGTCGACGAGGAGCTTGTGCGCCGTCGGGAAGTCGAGGAGCGTGATCTCCGTCGGCGCGCCGTCGACGGCGCACTTGTCGTCGTCGTCGCCGTCGTCCGCGTCCGCGACGGGAATGCCGACGGGCGGCGCGGGCCTCGCCGCAAAGGTCGCGTTGCCCGCCGGCGCCGGGGTCGGCTTCGGCGTCGCGGCGGCGGCCTTGGGCGGCGCGGCCTTGGCCGCGGCGGCGGCCGCGCGCTCCTCGGCCCAGCGGTGCGCGCGCGCGTCGCCGTCCTTGGCCGCGGCCTCGTCGGCGCTCGACGCCTCGGAGACGGTGACGATGCCCTTCTTCGCGGCGACGAGGCCCAGGAACTCGGCGTCCTGGGCGTCGATGACGAGGCCGTCGTACTCGATGACCATCAGGTCCGTCGGGACGCCCGTGACCGTCGCGACGGCGTCCTTCAGTTCGCCGACGCTCCGGCGATTCGAGATCGTCACCTCGAAGGCCTTGAGCGTCAGCCCCATGTCGACCCACTTGACCTTGACGACGACGGGCGTCCGCGACGCCGCGGCGGCCGCGCCGCCGTCGTCGACGACGCGCGGCGGCGCCGCGCCCGCGAACTCGACCGCCGCCTCGTCGTCGTCGTCGTCGTCCTCGTCGTCCTCGGGCGGCTCCTCCTCCTCCTCCGGGTCGAGGACCTGGGCGTCCGGCGGCAGCTCCTCGACCTCGACGTCGTCGTCGTCGCTGTCCATGGGCAGCTCCTCGACCTCGAGGTCGTCGTCGTCGTCGTCGTCGTCGTCCATGGGCAGCTCCTCGACCTGCAAATCGTCGTCGTCGTCCGAGCCGGGCATCTCCTCGATCTCCGGCTCCTCGTCGGAGTCGGACCCGTCCAAGGGCGGCATCTCCTCGACCTCGGGCTCCGACTCGGACCCGTCGAGCGGCGGCATCTCCTCGACCTCGGGCTCGTCGGACTCGGACCCGTCCAACGGCGGCATCTCCTCGACGTCCGCCTCGTCGGAGTCGCCGGCCATCTCCTCGACCTCCAACTCGTCGTCGTCCGAGAGCTCGACGCCCGGCAGGTCCTCGAAGGACTTGGCGCTCTGCTTCGCGCCCGTCGTCTTCGCCTTGGCCGCGCGGAAGACGTCCGCGTTCGACGGCCCGGGCCCCTTGGCCTTCTCCGGGCCCACGGGGTCCAAACCGTCCATGTCGCCCTCGGCGTCGGAATCGCCGTCGAAGGCGGGCATGTCGTCGTCGCTGGGCTCCTCGACGACGGGCTGGTCGTCGTCGGACGACTCGGAGCCGTCGCCGTAGACGTTCGACGCCGCGCGCTCGCCGGGAAGCTGCGGGCCGACGTCGACGATGGACGTCCACGCGTTCCGCTCGTAGGGCCAGAACCGCAGCCCCTCGCGCTTGACGGTCACGGAGATGCGCCGGGGCAGGATCTTCACCGTGAGGTCGCGGCCCGTGCAGCCCGGCGGCAGGAGCACGCGGAGCTCGATCTCGCGGACGCGCTGGCGCCACGAGAAGGTCGGGTACGTCGCCGACAGCCCCTCGCCCTTGGGAAACACGCGGAGCGAGTCCGCGCCGTCGTCCCAGGACTCCTCGAGGCAGTCGCGCGCCTGCGTCTCCGCGAGCGCCGTCGCGCGGCGGAACGCGGACGCGTCGTCGACGCCGCAGCTCTCGTCGAGCCAATGGCGCAGCAGGGGCCGCAGCGGCGGCAGGCGCGCGCACGTGAGGAAGCTCCGGGGCCCCATGCCCTCGTCCTCGAACTGGGGGATCAAGTAGTCGAGCTCGAGGCGCTCCAACACCTCCTCCAGCAGCAGGTCGTCCTCGTCGTCCTCGTCGTCCGACTCCAGACGCGGCAGGTTGTCGGGCCCGTGGAGCTCCTGGGTCACCTCCGCGTCGTAGGACACGTCGATGGGGCAGTCCGGGATGTAGCGCTCCAGGTTCGTGTTGTTGACGCAGGTCGGGTGGCCCTGGCCGCCCCACCACGCCTTCCAGCGCCGCTCCTCGGGCGTCATCTCCGCGCAGAGGTCGTGGATGTCGTCCTTGATGGCCTTGACCTGGTCCTTGCGCCGCGCGTCCTTCTTCGCCAGCGCGTACTCCTCGCGCAGGGGCACGCTGTTCGGCTCCAAATCGAGGCCCTTCTTCGCCGCGCCGAGCGCCGCGTCGTGCTGGCCGAGCATGCGGCTCGCGCGCGCGAGGCGGAAGTAGCCCTTGACGAAGGTCGGGTCGAGCTTCACGCACTCCTCGGCGTCGTCGTGGGCGCTCCGCCAGTCGCCCAGGGCGAGGTGGCAGGCCGCGCGGTTCGCGTAGAGCGTCTTGTCGTAGGGGTCGACGTCGACGGCCTCCGTGTAGAGCTTCACCGCCGGCTTGAAGCGCTTCTTCTTGAACTCCTCGTTGCCCGCGATGCGCTTCTCCTCCTTGAGGCGCACGAGCTCGAGCTTCGACGGGGGCGCCTTGGCCTTCTTGTTGAGGAAGCCCGTGCGCAGCGCGCCCGCGGGGCCGGACCGCTCGGGCGGCTCGACCTCCTCGATCGTCGGCATGTCGTCGTCGTCGTCGTCGTCGTCGTCGTCGTCGGAATCGTCGGCCTCGCTCGACTCCTCGCCGCCGCGGCCCGCCGTGACGTCCTCGATGAGGATGCCGTCGCTGTCGTCGTCGCTCTCGACCTCGGTGACGAGGATGCCGTCGCTGTCGTCGTCGGCCTCGTTCGACACCTCCTGGATGAGGATGCCCGAGTCGCTGTCGCTGTCCTTGGCCTTCGTCACGTTCTCCACCTCTGCGCGGAGGGGCGCGGGGGTCCGGGGGGGCGGGCGGGCGGCGCGCGGGGGGCTGGCGGAAACAGGGCCGGGGCGGGGCACGCACCGGTGATGACGATGTCGTCGTCGGAGGACTCCGCGTCCGCCGCGGCCGCCGGCGGCGCGCCGGAGGGGAGCTCCTCGATGACGATGTCCGAATCGTCGCTGTCGGAGTCGGCCATTGCTGCCAGGAGAAAAGTCGACTAGTGCCACCGCGTTCGTCGAAGCCACTCGTCGCAAAGAGAGAGCTCTCCCGCGATTGTTGAAGAAATCCCGCGATTGTTGCAGTCGCTGTCGGCAAGTTGTACGGCTCCGACGACGCCGATGGAGCCTCGATGGAGACCTCCCGACGACGGAGTCCGACGATAGCTTACGCAACGTACTTGGGCGCGAGCCCCGGCCCCGGGTCCGCGTCGTCCGCCGCGCCGAGGTACTCCTTCCCGACGGCCCAGACGAGGAAGGCCACGTAGGCGCCGAGGAACGCGGCGGCGTGCACGCGGTAGAGGCGGAACCCCGTGCACAGCAGCAGCACCAGGAACAGGAGCAGCGTGACGACGAGCACGAGCACGGGCACGACGATGTCCTCCGCCGGGAGGCCGTGGTAGACGCCGCCGTGCGACAGGCAGAACGCGAGCCAGGGCAGCCCCAGGCCGATGAGCACGTTGAACGTGTTCGACCCGAGCGCGTTCGACACGGCCATGTTCCCGAGCCCCTTGCGCGCGACGACCATGGACGCGACCAGATTCGGCAGCGACGTGCCCACGGCGGAGAAGGTGATGCCGACGACGGCGTCGGGCAGGCCCAGCATCGCGCCCAGCGTCTCGCAGAACGAGCACATGAACAGCGACAGCACCGCGAGCCACACGACGCAGGCGACGCAGGCCGCGGCGGCGTGCTCGCCGAGGCGCTCCGTCTGGAGGCGCACGTCGACGATGGTCCCGTGGAGCGCGAGCTTGAGCGGGAAGAGCGCGACGTGGCACGCGCCCGCGAAGGACAGTTTCGAGCCGTGGGGCCACTCGACGAGCGACGGCTCCTCGTCGTCCGTCGGGTGCGGCTCCGCGGCGGCCACGTCGCTCTTCCGGTCCGGCACGACGCGCCCGTCCGGGTCCTCGGCGCTCTCGAGGCGCCGCACCCACTCGGAGAAGACGTCGTCGTTCGGCGCTAGAAAGAAGGCCCGGCTCCGCTTCTCCTCCGCGCCGCCCGCGTCGTAGACGGGCGCGAGATCGAGCGCGACGAGGTGCCGCTTCGCGTCGACGACCGTGACGCCCCGCAGCGCGTAGCGCATGGCCCGCATGCGCGTCGTCCAGAACTTGACGCCGACCTCGTCGCGGTGGCGGTACGTCGCGACTTCGCCGTCCTTGACGACGCACCAGCGCAGCTCCCAGGCGTGGGCCGACGCGCGGCAGTTGCGGTAGAAGCGGTTCGCGCGGAAGACGTGGCAGGCGAGCTCGCCCGGCGATTGCTCCATCTCCTCGAGCTTCGCGTCCATGCCGAAGAGGTTCATCTCCTCGACGAGTTCGATGGTCGACGAGTTGAGGCGCTTCCCGAGCGACGGCCGGCGGCCGCCCGCGGCCGGCTCGTCGGCGTCGTCGTGCGACTCCTCGAACTCGTCGTGGAAGTTCGCCGTCGGTTCGTCCTCTATCAAACTCGGCCGCCGGCGGAACGACCTCCGCGGCGTCGGGTACTCGTCCGGCGCCGCCTCCTCGTCTTCGCCCGGCGGCGGCGCGTAGCCGACGCAGGCCTTGATCTTCTCGAACGTCGCGCAGACGACGACGTAGGCGCCGTAGCACGCGACCAGTATAAACCCCGCCCACCAGCGGATGACGATGTGCGCCGGGCCTCCCGGGTCGTCGGACTCCGGCGCGGACTCCAACGTGAGGAAGTATGAAAGAAGCACCAACGACAGGAGGTAGAAGGAAGCCTCCCGCGCGACGATGGCCTTGTCCAAAATCAGCACGCCGCCCTTGGCGCTGAGCACGGAGCCCGCGCAGATGCAGAGGTGGTTGAAGATCTCCGAGCCGACGACGGTGCCCACGCCGAGCGAGCTGTGCGTGATGAAGAGCGCCACGAGCGAGCTGAAGACCTCTGGCGAGCTCGCGCCGGCGGCCATGATCGTCGCGCCGGCGATGTCGTCGGGGATCGCGCAGCGCTCGCAGATCACCGACAGCGCGGGCACGAAGCGCTCCTCGCAGACGACGCTCAGCGCCCAGAAGAGGACGAGCGTGCCCGTGATGAGGAGCACGTAGCTCGGGGCCGCGCCGAGCTCCCCGACCCAGGCGGGCACCTCGTCCTCGTCGGCCATGGAGACGACGCGTCGTGTCGTGTCCTGGGCTGCCCGATCGATCAGGCGATTGGCCCTCATCGCGGCAACTCAGTCTGGTTGCAGTTAGCCTAAATCCCGTGGTTGATGTACGGCTCTAGTCGAGCCGACTCCGTCCGCCACCAGCGTCGTGCAATGGCCTCAATGCACCGCCTCGGCACGGCTCTGCGCGCCCCCGGGCGGCGGTCGCTGTCGTCGACGACCCGCGACGTGCCCCGGAAGCTGTCGTCGGCGTCGGCGCGCGTCTTCGAGGAGCCCGAGGCCGACTGGGCGACGGCGCCGCGGCCGCGGTCCATCACGGTGACGAAGGTGACGAAGGCGCCCCCCGCGGCGCCCGCGGGCCCCGCGACCTACGCGTCGCCGGCCGACGACGCCGCCGTCAAGGACCTCGTCGCGCGGCGGTCCGCGCCGCGGACGGACTGGACGCGCGAGGAGATCGCGGCCGTCTACGACGCGCCGCTCCTCGAGCTCCTGCGCGACGCCGCGGCCGTGCACCGGGCGCACTGGGACTCGCGGGACGTGCAGCAGTGCACGCTCCTGTCCATCAAGACGGGGGGCTGCACGGAGGACTGCGGCTACTGCAGCCAGAGCGTCCGGCACAAGACGCACGTGAAGCCGACGCGGCAGCTGCCCGTGGACGACGTCCTCGCGGCGGCGAAGCGCGCCAAGGCCGCGGGCTCGTCCCGCTTCTGCATGGGCGCGGCCTGGCGCGAGCTCGGCAACAAGAAGAAGGCCTTCCGCGAGATCCTCGAGATGGTCGAGAAGGTCAACGCCGAGGGCTTGGAGGTCTGCGCGACGCTGGGCATGCTCAACGAGGAGCAGGCGCGGCAGCTCAAGGACGCGGGGCTCACGGCCTACAACCACAACCTCGACACGTCCCGCGAGTTCTACCCGTCGGTGATCTCCACGCGGACCTACGACGACCGCCTCGCGACGATCGCCAACGTGCAGAAGGCGGGCATCTCCGTCTGCTCGGGGGGCATCCTGGGCCTCGGCGAGGAGGAGAAGGACCGCGTCGGGCTCCTGCACGAGCTCGCGAACCTCCCCGGGGGGCACCCGGAGTCCGTGCCCATCAACGCTTTGGTCGCCGTCCCGGGCACGCCCATCGGCGACGGCGGCAAGGCCGAGCCCGTCGACGTCTTCGGCATGTGCCGCATGATCGCCGCGGCGCGCATCGTCCTCCCCAAGACCATGGTCCGCCTCTCCGCGGGCCGCCTCGAGTTCTCCAAGGGCGAGCAGGCGCTCATGTTCATGGCGGGCGCGAATTCCATCTTCAACGGCGACGTGCTCCTCACGACGCCGAACCCGAAGTTCAGCGAGGACGCCCAGCTCTTCGACACGCTCGGCCTCCGCGGCCTCAAGCCCAAGCCCACGACGACCCACCTCAAGCGCGAGGTGGACGCGCCCATGGCCGCGTAGAGATCCCCCGCGGCCGGGGGGCCCGCCCCCGAAAAAAAAAAGCGACGCCCACAAGTCCACGCCGTCCTTTAACCGCTTACGTTGTAGCCGTCGGGGTAGGCCGCGCCCTTGGTCCAGGCGCGGCCGTTGGCGAAGAAGTGGGCGCGGACGTCCTTGAACGCGGACACGTCGGCTTCCAGCGCGTCGGGCCCGGCCCGGGCGACGAGCTTGCCGCCGAGCATGATGCCGAAGCAGGCCAGCAGGCACTGCCAGGCCTTCAGGCCCTCGTACTTGTCGTAGTGCTCGGGCCCGCGCGGGAGGTACCAGCCGACGCGGTAGAGGCACAGCCCGCAGAGCGCGGCGCCCATGCTCGCGTAGGCCGCGACGGCCCACGGCAGCCCCAGGAGCACGTAGTAGACGCAGGCCGTCAGGTAGTAGATGCCCTCGCAGGAGACCAGGTAGGCGCTCGCCTCGATGTGGTCCGGCTTCGTGGACCACGTCAGTACGACGCCCGCGCAGCCCAGCGCGAGAAACGCGGCCTCCAAAAGCCACGCGGGGCAGCCCAGCATCTTCGACGACACGCCCTCGGGCCCGAACTCGAACCAGGCCAGGCGCCCGGCGTCGCCGAGGAGCAGCTGGCCCGGTCCGGGGCTCGCCCAGTCGCTGAACGCGGGGTCGCCGAGCTTCTTCCCGAGGAGCAAGAAACCGAACGCGCCGTAGACCGTCGTCAGCGCGCAGGTCCCGAACCAGTTCGCGCCGGATCCGGCCTTCTTCTTCGCCGGCACGACGCGCGTGAGCCGCCGCTTCGTCTCCGCGGCGCGGCGCTTCTGCTCCTTGCGCTCCTCGTCCTCGTCGTCGTCGTCGTCCTTGGGCTTCTTCTTCTTCGGCTTCGTGTCTTTTGGTGTTTCTTCCGGCGGCGGCGGGTCCTTTTCCTCTTCTTCTTCCGTTTTTGTCGGCTTGCGCTGCCGCGCGGCGCGCGTCTCGACCATCTTCTTCGACGACGGACGAAGTGAGTGTGGTTTCTGGAGCTGCCAAGCTCGGTCGTGGCAGCTTGCAGCCCGGGGCAACGTGGTTAATGTTGTATTCAAGTTGCAATCGAGCTCCTACGATCTTATGCGCCGCGCTCCCTGAGCGCATCGGCAACGCAGAGCACCGGTCAGTTCCCGCCGGCAGCAGTCGCCGCCGCTTTAGAGCTCTCCCTGAGCATCAGCAACAGCACCGGTCGGTTCCCACCGGCAGCAGTCGCCGCCGCTTCTAGAGCTCTCCCTGAGCATCAGCAACAGCACCGGTCGGTTCCCGCCGGCAGCAGTCGCAACGAGAACGATGATGCGCCTGATCGTCGGCGCGCTGTGCCTGCTGCAGGCTGCGGCGTTCCAAGCGCCCGCAAAATTGCGGCCGCAGAGGCCACGCGCTCCAGGCCACCTGCACGCCGGCCGAGGCGAAGCAGGTCATCGAGCTGGCGAAGAAGGCCATCGCGAGAGACGGCTCCGTCAAGGACGCGCTCGGCTCGCTGCAAAAGGTCGAGAACGTGCTCGGCGCCGGGAGCCCCGCGGCGGGGAGCGTGTCCGTGTCCTTCGCCGCGTCGTTCCGGCGGCAGGGCAACCCCTTCAAGCTCATGAGCGGCGAGACGAAGGTCGCGAACCGCGGCAAGCAGGTCTGCCAGATCAAGGCGCGCGCGGACAAGGGGAAGCTCACGCAGTGCGCGATCCAGGGCTCCGGCGGCTGGGGGCGGACGCTGAACGTTAAATGTTAGTCGCGGAATTACGCCGCCCTTGCTAGTAGAACCACTCGTCCTTCATGTCGACGTTCTGCGTGTCGAGGGACGCGAGGAGCTTCGACGCCGCGTGGACCTTGGGCAGCTCGTGGGCGAAGAACCAGGACATCGTGTGGAGCTTGCCGTGGTAGAAGGCGTCGTCGTCGCCCGCGCCGGCCTCGAGGGCCGCGGACGCGATGGTGCCCTGCTTGAGCCACATCCAGGCGACGACGAGGTGGCCCGCGGCCGTGAGGTACTCGTTCGAGTTCGCGAGGAACGTGTCGACGTCGCCCGCCGCCGCGACGCCCACGAGCTTTTCCGTCGTTTTCCCGAAGGTCTCGAGCGCCGCCCCGAGGGCCGCCGCGGCCGGGCGGAGCTCCGCGTGGGCCGCCGCGGCCTCGGCGTCCGCGGCGACGCGCGCCGCGAGCGCCGCGAGCGCCGCGCCGCCGGCCATGGGCACCTTGCGGCCCAGCAGGTCCAGGCTCTGGATGCCCGTCGTGCCCTCGTAGATGGAGTTGACGCGCGCGTCGCGGTAGAGCTGCTCGACGATGAAGTCCGTCGTGTAGCCCGCGCCGCCGTGGACCTGGATCGCCAAACGGTTCGCCTCGAGCCCCCACTCCGACGGCCACGACTTGATCATGGGGATGAGCAGCTCGAGGACGAGGTGGAGCTCCTGCTTCGCCGCGGCGTCTTCGCAGACGGCCATCTTGTCGATGAGCTCGGCGCCGTAGAGGCTCAGCGCGACGCCGCCCTCGGAGTACGCGCGCGCGGCCAGCAGCATGCGCTTCACGTCCGCGTGCTGCACGATGGGCACCATGGGCGCCGCGGGGTCCTTGGACGTCAGGGGCCGGCCCTGGGCGCGGTCGCGGGCGTACCGCAGCGCCGCGGTGTAGCCGGCGACGCCGGACGCGGCCGCGCCCATGCCGACGCCGACCCGGAGCTCGTTCATCATGACGAACATGCACTTCAGGCCCTCGTGGGGCTCGCCGACGAGATACCCCGTCGCCGCGCCCGTGCGGTCGCCGAAGAGGAGCTCGCCGGCGTTCACCGACGCGATCTGGCCCATCTTGTGGTTCATGCCGCCGAGGTAGACGTCGTTGCGCGCGCCGTTCTCCAGCACTTTCGGCACGAGGAAGAGCGAGATGCCCTTGACGCCCGGCGGCGCGCCGGGGAGCTTCGCGAGGACGAAGTGCACGATGTTCTCCGACAGGCCCTGGTCGCCGCCCGTGATCCACATCTTGTTGCCCTTGATCGCGTAGGACCCGTCGCCGTTCGGCGCCGCGGACGTCCGGAGGTCCGTGAGCGAGCTCCCCGCGTGGCTCTCGCTGAGGCACATGGTGCCGTAGGCCTCGCCGGACGTGAGCTTCGGGAGCCAGGTCGCCTGCTGCTCCGGCGAGCCGTGCGCCGCGAGGAGCGTGATCGACCCGTTCGTGACGCCGTGGTAGCTCATGAGGCCCGTGTTCGCGACGGAGAACGGCAGGTTCGCGAGCGCCGCGGCGCAGACGGGCAGGCCGAGGCCGCCCTTGTCCTGCTCCAGCGTCATGCCGATGAAGCCGCCCTCGGCGTACTGCTTCTGCGCGTCGACGACGGCCGCGGGGTGGACGACCACGTCCGCGTCCGCGTCGTAGGTCGGCGCCTCGCGGTCGCCGACGGGGTTCGCGTCGTAGAAGACCTCCTCGGCGAGCGTCGACCCGGCCTCGACGATGGATTCGATGGTCTCCACGTCGTGGTCCCGGAAGCGCTCCGTCGCCAGCAGCGCTTGCAGGTCGATGAACTCGTGGAGCAGGAACTGGAGCTCGCGGCCGTGCAGGAGTTTCGAGGACGTGAGGTGCGGCGTCGACGAGGCCGTTGCCGTAGCAGTGGAGAGCGCGCGCTTCGCGAGCGCGCGCAGAGCTTGGGACCGCATCATCATTCGATCGCGATCGGCGTGGCGCCGAAGATCACGGGAGCGTGCAGTAGGCTTGCAGTCGCGCCACGTGCCGCTATTGTGCCGCTACCTCCTTACCCTCTCGTCGTACGCGCGCCGCAGCCGCCCGGCGAGTTCGCCGACGACGTCGGGCCGATCGGCGGCCTCGTTGGCGTTCTCGTAGTCGTCGAAGCAGGACGCCCCGTCGCACGCGCCGTGGCCGTAGAGCTCCCGCGCCAGCAGCCCGGACGGGGACCAGTCCGGCTCGAGGGCCGCGCCGAGCCAGCGCCGCCACTCCGTGTAGCGCCAGGCGTCCACCCGGAGCGACGCGCCCATGGCGAAGAAGCGCGACCGCTCGACGAACTCGCAGACGTTGTCCCGCCAGTAGTCGCTCGCGTTCGCCTCGTCGGACGGGCACCGCGGGTATTCCGCCAAGGCCTCGGCGCGGCCGCCCGCCGTCGCGTTCCAGGGACCGGCCTGGTCGAGGACGGCCGCGAAGGAGCGGCCGTCGACGGCTTCGTCGAGCGGCGCGCCCGCGAGCTCGGCCATCGTCGGAAAGACGTCGACGAGCTCGACGAGGGCCGACGACCGCTTGCCGTGCGTCGCCGGCCGCGTCGGGTCCGCGACGATCAGCGGCACGCGGAGCCCCGCCTCCCACTCCGTGAACTTCTGCCACGCGCCGTGCTCGCCCAGGCTCCAGCCGTGGTCGCCGTGGAGCACGACGAGGGTCGACGACGCGAGACCGGTGGCATCGAGGGCGTCGAGGACGCGCCCGAGCTGCGAGTCCATCCAGGCCGTCGCCGCGTAGTAGTGGCGCCGGAACGCCGAACCGTTCGCGCGCGGCAGCGGCGAGAAGGGATCCGCCTGGAATCCTCTGGTCGTCATGGACGAGAGCGCGATGGGCGCGACGGACGGATCGAGCGCGCCGTGCGCCGCGGCGTCGCTCTGGTTCCCGAGGAAGGGCGACGGGTAGCGCCAGGGCGTGTGGGGCTTCCGGAGGCCGGCGGCGACGAAGAAGGGCCGTCGAGCCGCGGCGAGTCGGAGCTTGTCGGCGGCGTCGTCGGCGATGACCTTGTCGCAGAACGGTCCGCTCCCGTCGAGGGGCTCGCCGTCTTCCGTCGCGTCGACGGCGCAGGCGACGCGGGACCAGCCGCCGGCGCAGCGCGCATCGGCGCGACGGCGTCGACGTCGGCCATGCTCGCGTTCCAGGACGGCGGGTCCTGGTTCGGCGGCAGGCCCGGGCCGACCCAGAACGGCGGCGTCGACCCGCCCTCCTCCGTGTGGAAGATCTTGCCCGTGCCTACGGTGGGACATCTCCCTCGAAGAATCCCGGCGAACGACGCCGCGCCGCGCCCGCGGTCCAGTAGCCGCGCTCTCGGAAGTGCTGCGGCGTCGTTGTGGTGCGAGCCCACCACGTCGCGTCGGCGCCGGACGCCCCGGACACGGCGCCCGAAGAAGGCGCGCGCGCCGCCGCGGCGCCGTGGAGAAAGCAGGTCCCGTTCGCGTAGGTCCACTTCGCGCAGGCGGCGGCGAGCGTGCAGTGGGAGCAGCACTCGCCGGCCATGCCGCCGTCGCGCGCGATGCTCACCTCGGCGATTTCGTCGCCGCGCCAGGCGGCGTCCGGGAGTTCTAAGCCGCAGTCGGCCTGGCGCACGTGGTTCGCGAAGTTCCAGGCTTTTGTGCTCCGCGGCCGGAGGCCCGTCAGGAAGGAATTGCGCGACGGGCTGCAGACGGCCTGGTTCGCGTAGGCGCGGTCGAAGACGACGCCGCGTTCCGCCAGAGCTCGCAGGTGCGGTGTTGGGACATTGTCCGTGTAGGGTTCGATGGATGGGCGTAGGTCGTCGACAAGGACGTAGAGCACGTTCAGTTTCGCGCTAGCGATGGCCAGGACCGTCGCGAGCCGTAAAGCAGTCATGCGCTTCGAGCAGCACTCAAGCTGGGGCTGCCTTCGCGGCGTCGAGGGCTGCGAACATCGGGCGCATTGAAACTTCAATGACCGCTTCAGCTAACACGAATCAAATCAGTCGAGACGATATCACACCCGCCACCAGCGTCGCGCTTGCCCACAGCCGACCCGCCTCCTCGACACTCGACGTCGTCGCCCTCGACAGCGTGCTCGCGACGATGTCCAGCCGCGATGTCGTCGACCTCACGCAGTCGGATGACGACTGCACACAAGCCCCGACGCCCGCCGCCGCGCCAAGGCCCGCGCCGCGGCCCGCGGCCGCGCCGCGGCCCGCACCGACGCCCGCCGCCGCGCCGAGGCCCGTGAAGACGCCCGCGGCGCCGGCGCCGCCCGCGGAGGTGACGCCCGACGCGCCGGCGCCGCCGCGCGCGCCCGCGCCGCCGCGCGCGCCGCCCCGGGACGACGACGACCCGGAGCTGAAGCGGGCCGAGAAGCGGCGGCGGCTCGGGGCACAAGCGTCCCAGGAGTCGGAGGAGGACCAGCTCGCGCGCATCCTGGCCGAGTCGGAGGAGACCGAGCGGGCCGAGAAGCGGCGGCGGCTCGAGGCGCAAGCGTCCCAGGAGTCGGAGGAGGACCAGCTCGCGCGCATCCTGGCCGAGTCCGCGGCGACGGCGGAAGCGGAAGCGCGCGCGCGCGCCGAGGCTCTGAGGCGCGCCGACGACGAACGAAAGCCGCTGACGACGGCCGAGTTCGTCGCCCTGTGGCGCGCGACGGAGGAGGGCACGGGCGTCGCCATGACCGACATCGAGGCGGGGACGCTGGTCCGCACGGGCAACGCCGCGGGCTCCGTGAGCGGCGCGACGCAGGACAAGGCCCAGTACGGGCGCCTCTTCTTCGGCGCCACGCGGACCGTCGCCGAGCTCACGAATTTGAAGGCGTCGGAGGTTTTCGTGGACATCGGGTGCGGCGTGGGCAACGCGACGATGCAGATGGCCTGCACGGTGGGCTGCGAGGCGCGGGGCATCGAGCTCATGCCGGACCGCCACATCGTCGGCCACGAGCACATGTGGCCCGCCCTCCAGCACGCCATCGGCGAGCGCGACGGCCCCCCGCCCAAGGTCGGCGAGGTCGTCCTCCGGCAGGCGGACCTCGCGGACCCCGCGGTCGCGGAGTTCCTCAGCTCGGCGGACGTCGCCTTCGTGAACAACTACAACGAGATCTTCGGCGCGCGGTCCTGCAAGCACGGCGAGCGGTCCCTCGACGAGCACGTCGCGCGCGTCTTCGCCTGCATGAAGCCGGGCTCCCGCATGGTCACGTTCCACCCGCTCGCGCTGGGCATGGACGCCGAGAAGGTGAACGAGGTCCGCCGGGACCGGGGCCTGGCGCCCAGCGCCGACGCGTCCTTCTTCACGAAAGCGCAGTCGACGCTCGCGCCGGGCCCGACGGCCTGGGCGCCGCGCGGCGAGGACGTCGTCTCGTGGTCCGACGGGCCCATCAAGGCCTACCTCTACACGCGCACGGCCCAGTCCCTCGAGAAAGCCTGCTTCCTCTGCACGAACCGAAAGTGCGTGGGCAAGGACATCCCGACGGCCTTCGTCAACGAGGAGTCCCTCGACCTCGTCACGGAGTGCATCTTCTGCGGCGAGAGCCGCCGGCCCGCCGAGCGCGACCGCGGCGAATCCAGGCGGGGCTAAAGCGATGTTTATTTCCGAGTTGGATTTTTTTGGCGTTCACGTCGCCTCGATTTCGCACTTGATTTCGCGTTGGCGACCTCAGGTTCTTTCGGCCCATGTTGACCATCAAGTTGATGTCCGCGGGGTCGGGCTGCGAAATGGATCCGAGCGAGAATGATGCCCCCATGAAAGCGAGCAGAGAGGAGACGAAGGAGGATGGCTGCGGCTGCCTGCTCGGCGGCAACGCTCCGACGAAAGCGATGGAGACCGCGCCGAGCGATGCGAGCGCGGCACTGGCGCTCGTGCGCCGCGCGGCGCTCGTCGCGAACCTGTCGAACCTCGCCTTCGGCTACGACGTCGGCGTCATGAGCGGTGCGCTGCTCTACCTGCGGCGGCCGGACCAGCTCGGCTTCACCGACGTCCAGGCGGAAGTCGCCGCGAGCCTCTTCAACCTCGCGGCCGCGGCGGCGTCGCTCGGCGTCGCGGGGCCGCTCAGCGACCGCCGCGGCCGCCGCGCCGCGCTGCTGGTTTCCGCGGCGCTCCTCCTCGCCGGGTTCGTGTGCCAGGCGTTCGCGCCGTCCTTCGCGGTCCTGGCCTTTGGGCGCGCGCTCGCCGGGTCGGGCTCGGGCGTCGCGTGGGTCTCCGCGAGCACGTGTCGCCGCGTCTGGGCAATTGGATGGATGCAGATATCTGCCTCGCCGCTAGGTACGCTCATGGCCGAGCTCGCGCCGACGAAGGAGCGGGGGAAGCTCACGGCCGTCGCGGATCTGGGCATCAACGTCGGCATCGTGGTCGGGTACGCGTCGTCGCTGGCGTGTATCGGGGTCTTCCGGGACGACGAGCGGCGCTGGCGGTCCATGCTCGGTTTGGGCGCTTCCCTGCCGGCGGCGCTCCTCCTCCTGCGAGGCGCGCTGCCCGAGTCGCCGCGCTGGCTTCTCGCGAACGGCCGCGCGGACGAGGCGCGCCGCGTGCTCGAGGCCTACCACGTGCCGGCGGACGCGGCGGACACCGCCGACGCGTTCGTCGCGCGCGTCGCCGGGCGCCGGCCGGCCGCGGCCGCGGCGCGCGCGAGCGAGACGGAGCGGCGGCGGTCGCTCCAGGGCTTCGCCGTCGCCGCCGCGGGGCAGGCGAACGGCAGCGAGGGCGTCCTGTACTACGTCGGCTACGTGCTCCGCGACGGCCTCGGCCTCGCGTCGCAGGTCCAGGTCCTCGCGGCGTCGCTCGGCGTCGGCGTCGTCAAGCTCCTCGGCGTCGTCGTCGCCATGGCGCGCGTCGAGCGCGCGGGCCGGCGGCCCATGCTCGCGCTGTCCGGCGCCTCCCTGGCCGTCACGCTCGCGCTCCTCGCGGCGACGGTCGCCGCGGGCGCGCCGAGCGTCGTCGTCGTCCTCCTGCTGTGCGCCTACATGTTCGCGTTCTCGCTCGGGGCCGGGTCGCTCGCCGTCGTCGTCGCGACGGAGCTGCAGCCCGAGGCGAATCGCGGCACGCTCGTCGCGCGCGCCGTCTTCCTGAACCGCCTCGTGAGCGGCACCTGCGCGGCGACGTTCTTGTCGCTGACGCGACGCGCCGGCGTCGACGGAACGTTCGCTTTTTACGCGGTCTGCTCCGCGATGACCGCGGTCGTCTTCGCGCGCACGCCGGAGACGAAGGGTCTGGATCTCGAGGCCATCCACGCCGACGCCGGCGCGGACGTCGAGCTCCAGAGCCCGCTGCAGGGGGGCGCCGCGGTCTAAATTCGCTCCTACAGGCCAACTTTAAGCGGCAGACGGCGTCGGTTGAAGTGCATGTTGTACCTCAAGGTGCCGCCGCTCTCATCGTGATGGCCGCCGCTGTTTGGCGTCGCATCGTAGCCGCAGCGTGTCTCTTTGCAGCGGGCGATGGCCTTGTGCCCCGTGCGTCGAGTTCGCCGCGCCGCACGCTTGCCCCGCTTCGAGCGCAGGAGTTGCGCATGGACGTGGCGGACTGCGGTCCCAAGGGGCTGGGCGCGTTCGCGGCGGAAGCTTGCGTTTCGGGCTCGTACGTCTGCGACTACGTCGGCGAGTCGATCGATTTCGTCGAGCGCGCGACGCGCTACCAGCGCGACCCGCCGGCGTACCTGTTCCACCTCGGCGGCGGCGCGATCGCCGGGAGCCACCGGTTCATCGACGCCGTCGCCTCGACGCACGCGTCGCGCGCGATCAACCACGCGCAGCACGCCAATCTCGAGTACCGAATCGATTTCGAGGCGCGGCGCGTGTCATTCTACGCGCTCAAAGACATCGCCGAGGGCGACGAGCTCACGTTCGACTACGGCGAGGAGTACTGGCTCCAGCGTGGCTTCGCGCCGGCGGACGACGACCGCGACTACTCGCCCGCGCGCGTCGCCGCGGAACGATTCAAGCTCGCCGCGGCGCAGCGGAGTTCCGGGGACGCCGGGTCGAACCCGCTCTCGCGGCGACGGAGGCGCGAGCGCGCGCCGAAGGACGCCGCCGCGCTCGCCGCGCTCCTCCGGGACCGGCCCGAGCGCTAACCTATCCCGCGCGGGCTATGTTCGTCGCTCTTCGTCGCGGGGGCGGCCACACCTGCGTGGTTGAAGCACGACTCGTCTCGTTTGAGGCATGTTGAAGGTCAAGTTGCACGAGCTCGAGCCGCGCGGCCGAAGCATGACCGCTCTCTGCTGCTTGCGCCAACTGTCGCGCCACCGACGACACCGCATCCTCACGAGACGATGCCTCACCAGTGATGACGACGGCCGGCGGTCGCGGCTGCGCGCCCTCTACGAAGACCACGCGCTCGTCCACGGCCGCGAGGGCGCGGCGCCGACCACAGATCCAACGGTGGTCATAGCTGACCGCAAGATCGCCGACGCGGCGCGCCGCGGCGTGTTTGACGATTTGAAGGGCAAGCTCAAAACCGCCCCGCACCGGTCACACCTCGACGCCGCGCAGCGCGCGGGCGCGGACATGGCCGGCGTCCTCGCGGCGCAGGGCGTCGCGCCGCGGTCCGTGGAGCTGAGTCGCGAGGTCGACGCCGCGCGCGCGGCGCTCGTCGCAGCGATACGACGAGTCCCGACCGACGAGCGCGCCGGCGACGCCGGGCTGCTGGAGAGACGCGACGCTCTGGACGCGCTCGTCACGGCCCAGAACCACGCGGCCGTCGGCGACGCGCTCGCCTTCGGGTCGCGCGCTATCCAGGCGCCACGCTTCGACTTTGAATGGAGATCGCGCGACTCGACGAGACGTAAGACTCCTGGAGTGTGTGCCGGGAGGCCTGGAGGGCGTTTCTCCACAACGCTGTGCGGCGCCAGCAGATCGCCAGCGATCAGTGCGCACCTTCGAAATTATGCCTCCTCCGCCCGCCGCCGCGACGCATCGTCCGTCGCGGTCGGCGCGCTTCAAGGCCTGGGCGACGTCGGCCCGCGCCAGCGTCCAAGCCGACACAACCGCCGCCCCTCGTAAATCCAAGGCCGATCGCCTCCGCTCCTGGGCGGCGTCGCTCGGCACGATCGGCGCGAACCTGCACCGCCTCTCGCTCCACGAGTCGGCCCCGCCGCCCGCCTACGACGACCCCGACGCCGACGCCCTGCCGGACTACGCGCTCCGGGGCCCCCTCGGCCGCGGCGCGTTCGCGCGCGTCGTGCGCGCGACGCGAGCGCCGACGGCGGCGAAGTCGCGGTCAAGATCCTCGACAAGGCCGCCCTCAGACGGAAGCGCACCATGGCGCGGGACCCGGCGACGGGCCGGCCCAAAGTCACGACGGCCCTGGACGCCGTCGCCGGCGAGGTCGCGCTCGCGCGGACGCTGGATCACCGACGCGTGCTCAGGGTGTTGGACGTCGTCGAGGACGACGCGCGGCTCTGCCTCGTCCTCGAGCTCTGCGCCCGGGGCCCCGTCATGGCCTACGACCCGGAGGCCGCGCGCCACGCCTGCGCCGTCTCCGGCGGCGCCGTCGCTCGCGGCCGCGCCGCGCGCTACGTGCTCGAACTCGCGGACGGGCTCGCGTACCTCCACGCGCGCCACGTCGCGCACCGCGACCTCAAGCCGGCGAACGTGCTCCTGCGCGGCGACGACAGCGTGGCCATCGCGGATTTCGGCGTCGCGCACCGCTTTGCGGGCGGCCTCGGCGGCAGCGAGGGCGCGACCGATTCCGCGGCCGCGGACGCGCGCCTCGAGGGCGCCGCGAAGCTCGCGCGGCTGCGGCGCCTGGAGCGCGCCGCGAGCCTCGCGCAGATCTCGGGCACGGAGGGCACCTACGCCTACTGGGCGCCGGAGATGGTCGCGACGGCGGCGGCGGGCGAGAAGGTCCACTTCAACGCGTTCGCGTGCGACGCGTGGGCCCTGGGCTGCTGCTACTACAACTTCCGGACGCGGCGGAACCCCTTCGACGTCGCGGACTCCGTCGAGGGCCTCTTCGACGCGATCCGGGCGGGCGTCGTCGACCTGTCGGACGCGGCGCTCGGCGCCGAGGAGAGACGGGTCCTCGCGGCGCTCCTCGCGCGCGACGCGGCGGCGCGCGCGACCATGGCCGACCTCCTCGAGGACCCGTGGCTGCGCGCGGCGCAACGAGAGGACACTTAAATCAAGCTTCAGAGCGAGAATGACACTTAAACACACCTTCAGAGCGCGAGGGACGCGAGGTCGTCGTCGTTGGGGACGTAGCCGTGGCAGTGGCGGGAGACCTGGGGCGCGCCGCGGCAGACGCGGCCCGGCGCCTTCTTGGGCGCGGCCGCCGGCTTGAGGTAGTGGGGCCGCTTCACGGCGAGGCCGTCCTGGCGGCGGACGACGACGACGTCCTCGTACTGGCGGTCGCGCTCGTTGTGGCCCGGCCCGCGGTACACGGGCCGCGGCCGCGGCCGGGGCTTGCGGATCTCGGAGAAGCCGCCGCCGCGCTTCGGCTCCTCCGGCGGCACGTAGGCGTCGCGCGCGTCGCGGGCGCCGCGCCGGTCGTGCGTGCCGTCGGCCCGGCGGAGCGCCTTTTTCAGCGCCCGGACGTGCTTGTCGACGTCGCGCCGCAGCGCGCGGACGACGTCCGCCTCCTCGATGACGGCGACGTCGGACTGGGCGATCATGATCGCCGCCTCGAGGATGGCGCCGTGGGCCGCGCCCGCGCCGCGCGGGTCGCCGAGGCCGCCGCCCTGCCGCAGGAGGCTCAGCGCGTCGCCGGACCGCTCCCGCGACTTCTTGAGCGTCTCGACCTCGTCCTCGAGCTTGAGCATCATCGCCGGCGCGCGCACCTTGGGCGCGCGGGCGCGCTTCGCGTGCTCCTGCTCCACGGTCGACGCGAGGGACTGGAGGTGCTTGGCCAATTCGCGGATCGCTTGGCGCCGCGCCTCCGGGCCGACCTCCTCCGACGCCTCCGAGCTCCGCGACGACTCCGGCGGCTCGTCGTCGTCGTCGTCGTCGTCGTCGTCGTCCTCCGGCGCCGGCGCGCGCTCCGGCGCCGGCGCGGCGCCGTAGCTCACGAAGGACCCGCCGAGCCAGCGGCACGGCGCGGCGCCGCCGGCGTCGGCGACGGCCCGGCGCAAGACCTCCTGCTGCCGCGCCTCGAGCTTCGACTCCTCCAGCGCGAGGTCCGCCTCGAGGCTCGTCTCCTTGCCCTCGGCCGGCGCCGCGGCCGACGCCGCGCGCGACTTCACCTGCGCCTCCAAGGCCGCGAGCTCGTCGGCCAGCGCGTCGTCGTCGTTCGCGTCGACCTTGGCCTCGCCGCGGCGGTGGAGCTTGGCCTCCATGGCCGCGAGCTCCGACTCGTCGAGGTCGTCGGGCTCGCTCACCTTGAGGTGCATGTCGAGCGTCGGCGCCAGGCCGGCGTCCTTGGCCTCGGGCGGCGCGTTCTCCTTCTCCGGGCTCGGCATGCCCCCCCGCGACCGGGGCAAAACGACGTCGACCTTCTTCGCGTCGCCGCTCCCGGACCGCGCGGGCGGCAGGAAGGAGCCCAACATAGTGTGCCACGCAACCGCTTTTAACGTTAACGTTGGCGAGCCGATGGTGCAGGGGTTGCGAGTACAAGAGCGGGGCAGCGTCGACGAGTGCGGCTAGCGGCGGCCCCAACCGCGCGGGCCGCGGGCCGCGCGACCATGTACGTATGGAAGAACCAGAACCACCGGGACCGGCGGAAGCGGCCGCGGCCGCCCATGGGCTACAAGGCCGCGCCCCCGGCCAAGGTCGACATGAGCAGCCGCGTCGAGCGCGACGAGCAGCTCAAGGTCGAGGCGCGGCGCAAGTTCGCCGAGCAGGAGGAGCACGAGGTGCGCATCCAGACGCGGGACATCAAGCAGCTCATGGACGACTACCTGCGGACGAAGCACGGCCGCCAGGAGCTGCTCCACGTGGCCGACGCGATGCGCCGCGAGCAGGAGCGCGCCGAGGCGCTCAAGAAGAAGCAGGAGCAGGAGGCCGAGGAGGAGAAGAAGCGCGCCGCCGCCGAGGAGAAGGAGCTGGAGAAGGCCTACAAGCAGCGCGAGAAGAAGGAGGCCTCGATGAAGAAGGCGCAGCATAAGGCGCGCGAGAAGCTCCGGCGCAAGGGCCTCCTCGCCGAGGACGCGCCGACGGCCGAGATGTTCGAGGAGAAGTTCTTCGACGTGTCGCTCACGGAGGTGCCGGAGAAGAAGCGCAAGCGCATCATCCAGGAGCTGCGCGCCGTGACGCGCTTCAGCCTGAAGCAGGCGACGGACGCGGCCGAGCGCGTGCCGTGGACGATCAAGAGCTCGTTGACCCGGGAGGCCGCGGACGCCGTCGTCAAGCGGCTGTCCCGCGCCGGCGCCGGCGTCGAGCTCGTCGCGGGCAAGAAGCCGGCCGCCGACGAGGCGAGCGTCGACTCCAAGGAGGCGGACGTGCAGTTCCTGGAGGCGCAGCGCGAGAAGCGCATGCTCGAGCGGAAGAAGCGCGCGGCCGTGAACATGGCCGGCGTCGAGGCCGCGGACAAGGAGCGGCAGCAGGTCCAGGCGACGTTCAGCGTCTTCGACGCGGACAACAGCGGCGCGATCGACGTCGGCGAGCTCGAGGGCCTGCTCAAGGAGCTGTGCATCCCCGTCAAGGACAAGGACGAGCTCCACGCCATCATGACGGAGCTCGACGGCGACGGCTCCGGCGACATCGACTTCCACGAGTTCTACATGTGGTTCAAGCAGGTCGGCGAGTCGAAGAAGGGCGGCATCATCGGCAACGCGCTCTCCGCGTCCCTCGCCGTGCAAAAGTTCGGCAACGCCATGGCCGGCGCGACGCGCATGCTCGAGGCGAAGCGCGTCATCATCGCCTGCGCGGAGCACGACGCGGCCCAGCACGCGCGCCTGCTCTTCCGCCAGTCGCGGCCCGACGAGGGCCACGACGGCGACGAGGTCGCGCGCGAGGTCGCGGTGGACCTCGCGGCGGAGAAGCGCTTCTCCGCCGTGCGCGCCGTCGTCGGGCGGCCGACGCAGGACGGCGGCGGCGGCGGCGACAACGAGGTGCCCGAGTACGAGGCGCGATCCTTGCGCGCGCGGCGCCTGCTCTACCACCCGGACCTGTGGCCCGTGCCGCCGCCGCCGCCGAAGCTCGTGCCGCCGCACTGGATGAACGCGGACCGGCCGGGCCTCAGCGATCCCTTCGACGAGGCCGGCGACGCCGTGAAGCTCGGCGCGAAGATCCACGGCGTCGACCCGACGGCGGGCGAGCGCGCCGCGCCGCGCGCGTCCGACGGCATGCGGGGCATGACGCGCCACCACTTCCTCAACGGCAAGCCGGAGAAGCAGGCCCCCGGCCCCGGGTCGACCTTCGCCCGCGCCATCGTCGCCCTGCGCAAGGACATCGCGTTCCCGGACGCCGCGCGCTTACGTCCCGAGACGGACGCGCCGGGCGTCGAGGTCGTGCCCGAGGGCGCGATGAAGGCGCTGGCGACCTTCGCCTGGCGGCCCGACATGGAGCCGCGGCCCCGGCGCAACGTGTCCATCGAGGCCGAGTTCACGGGCTGGAAGCCCGCGCGGCTCCAACCCTCTCGCAAGCGGCACGGCGCGTACGAGCTCGAGTTCGCGCTGCCGCCGGGGAGGTACCGCTACGGCTTCCGCGTCGACGGGGAGCACCACGTGGACCCGCTGGCGCCCATCGCGCGCACGGGAAACGGCTCCTACAACGTGTTGCACGTCCTGGCGTACCACCGGTCGAAGCAGAACGACGCGCTGTCGCCGCCGAAGCCGAAAAGGGGCGAGCCGCTGGAGATCTGCCTGAACGGCCACCGCCTCAAGGACGACGGCGCCTGGGCGCTGGCCGACGCCATCCGCTCCGGCGGCGGCGGCGGCGCGCTGCGGGTGCTGGCCTTGCAGGCGAACGGCCTCAGCGGCGACGGCGTCGGGAGCCTGTGCACCGCGCTGGCCTCCGGCGCGGCGCTCAAGCTCGAGAGTCTAGATTTATCAAAGAACCGCATCGGCGTCGAGGGCGGCCGCGCCGTCGGTTTGCTCTTGTCGGAGAAGTGGGACGGCAACGCGGACGACGCGGACCGCGCGGTGCCCGCGCCTCTGGTCAACGTCCGGCTCGCGCGGTGCCGGCTCATGGACGACGGCGCGGCCCAGGTCGCCGTGGGCGTCGTGGGCAACGGCACGCTGCGGAACCTGGACCTGAACGAGAACGGCGTCGGCGAGTTCGGGTGCGCGGCGCTCGCGCGCGCGCTGCTCCGCAACGGCGTGCTCCAGTCGCTGAGCCTCGCGGGGAACCGCGTCGACGCCGAGGGCGCCAAGCACCTGAGCGTGCCCGTGCGCATCTCGGGCGCCCTGCGGCGCCTCGAGCTCGCGAACAACCAGGCCGTGGGGAGCCTCGGCGCGTACCACCTCGGCGAGGCGCTCGCGGGCGGGTCGCCCGACCTCCTGCGCCGCGTCGCCGCCGAGGAGGAGGCGGCGCGGCACCGGCGCGGCGAGATCTCGATCAAGACGCTGGCCATCTCGGGCGTCGGGAGCGACGACGACGACGACGACGACTACAAGCGCGTCGGCAACGTCGACAGCGCGGCGTCCGCGTCCGCGAACAACAACCTCCGGGGCATCATCAAGCTCAAGGCCAAGGCGAACGCCGTCAAGAACAAGGCGAAGCGCAAGATCGTGCGCAGCGGCACGCTCGACTACCTCGGGCTCGCGGACTGCTCCATGTGCCGCGAGGGCGACCGCCGGGGCATCGTCGCGGTCTGCGACGGGTTGCAGCGGTCCGCCGTGCTCACGTCCCTGGACCTGAGCCACAACGAGCTCGACGACTGGGCGGCCCGCGCCTTCGCGCACGCCCTGCAGAAGTCGCAGGACCACAACCGGCTCAAGTTCGTGTCGCTCCGGGGCAACACGGCGATCTCGCCCGAGTGGATGTGGCGCGACCACGCCATGCCCGCGACGGAGAACGACGCCGAGGCCCAGCGCACGGGCCAGCTCGACATGCTCGTCACCGTGCCGTCCATCGCGACGTCCATCGAGCTCACGCGGCGCGCCGTCGCGGAGCACGAGCGGCAGCAGGCGCTCTTCCTCGCGCGCGAGCGGCGCAAGAAGGACCGGAAGATGGGCGGCGGCGACGCCAAGCCGGCCCGGGCCAGGCCGCCGAGCCGGCCGACGACGCCGGGCTCCGAGTTTCAGGGCACGGAGCCGAGCGGCTCCGACGGCGAGGGCGAGCCGCGCGCCGCGGGCTCCCAAGTCGACGGCGGCGACTCGACGACGCTGTCGACGATGACGGCGTCCCAGGTCGAGAAGCGCGCGTCCTTCAACCGCCGCGCGAGCCGCCGCGCGTCCATGGCCCAGCGCCGCGCGGCGCGCGACGCGATCAAGAAGCCCGTCGTCGAGGAGGAGGACGTCGCGGAGGAGGTCGACGAGGGCATCATCGCGCCGCCGCCGCCCGTGGACCCCAAGAGCGGCAAGCTCGAGGGCGAGTGGACCGCCGTGAGCGGCTGGTTCCGCATGGCCGACAAGTACGCCGCGCGCGCGGTCCGCCGCGAGGAGGCGCTGCGGGCGAACGAGTACGCGCGGATCCAGTGCGAGAAGGACGCCGTCGAGGCCGCGGGCGCCGCGGCGGCGGCGCGCGCGAACCTCGCCGCGGCGCGCGTGCCCGACGGCCCGAAGCTCGTCGAGGCCGTCGCCCGCGAGCTCGCGGAGGTCACGAAGGCGCAGCAGAAGCTCGCGGCCGCCAAGGTCGCGCGGAGCCGCCGCGGCGCCCAGACGGACCGCACGATCATGCAGGAGGGCGCCGCCGAGGTCGCCGCGAAGCTCGCGCAAACCGAAGAAGCGCGGCGGCGCCTCGGCGCGCGCGACGTCAACGACTCGCGCGCGGGCTCCGCGGGCCACGCGAAGCGCCGCGGCGCCGCGGGGCTCGTCTCCGCCGAGGAGCTCGGCGCGGCGGTCGCCGCGCGGCAGAACGCGGAGACGGTCTACAAGAAGCCGTGGGTCCCGACGAAGTGGCTGCCCAAGTTCCTGCGCAAGTACCGCCAGGTCGAGCAGACGCGCGCGAAGAAGCTCCAGAAGATGATCTCCGGCGCCGGCGCCGGCGACGGCGACGGCGGCGGCGAGGCGGCGACGGCCGCGGCCGCGGAGCAGACCCTCGTGGCCGACAAGCTCGCGCTCGCGCGCGACCGCGCGGCCATCGCGGCCATCAAGAAGGCCGCCAAGGACAAGAAGCGCGAGGGCTACCGCGAGGCGGAGAAGAGCCGCATCAAGGCCATCTTCCAGCGCGTGGACACGGACGACAGCGGCACGGTCGACTCCTTCGAGCTCAAGGCGCTCTTGATCCGGCTGGGCTGGGTCTCCGTGACGCCCAAGCAGATCCGGGAGACGATGAAGGAGCTGGACCGCGACGCGTCGGGCGAGATCGACTTCGACGAATTGTCGAGCTGGTGGGTCGACGGCGGCGGGAAGGAGAAGGTCCGCCGCATGAACCGGACGTTCCGCGCGCTCCTCCTGGGCAAGTCCAACGTCTTCAGCAGCAGCAAGGGCGAGCGCGGCGGCGTCTTCGACCCCCTGCTCCAGGACGCCGTGCGCGCGCTCGAGGCCGACGCGTCCTACGAGGCGACGAAGCGCGCGAAGGTCGGACTTTCGGAAGCGGCGGCCGCCGCGCGACGCCTGCGTTTGCCTCGTCTGCGGCGAGGCCTGCGTGGACCACGTGAACCACAGCCTCCACGTGCGCGACGGCAAGCGGGGCCACCAGTCCTTCGAGCGCGCGGAGACGGCCGCGCACCGGCGCCGCGCGCTGCTGGACCGCGCGCGGAACAAGGTCGCGATCGCCGCGCGCGCCAAGGAGGGCCGCGCGGCGAAGAAGAAGATGAGCCGCTCGGAGAAGAAGAAGGAGAAGAAGAAGAAGGAGGAGGAGACGCGGCCGCCCTTCCCCGTGTTGGTGGTCTACGACCCGCGCGTGCCGCACCACATCGAGATCCAGACCTACGACATCCCGGACAAGCACCACGGCCGGCCCACGGGCGCCGTGAGCCTGCTCACGTCCGCTTTGTACTGCATCGCCGACGGCCTGGGCAACGACCTCGTGACCAAGGGCGCGGGCTCCGAGTGGCTCCGCGTCGTCTGGCCCTCGCACGCGGCGGCCGGCGGCGGCGAGGACGCGTCGCTGACGACCGCGGCGGCCATGTACGGCGCCATCCACGGCGGGCCCATGCCCCGCGTGTCCCGCGACGACGACGGCCCGCCGCGCGCGGTCGTCTGGCTCCACAACCGCCACTCCGAGTACTCGAACGGCAAGGAGCCCGTCTTCCGCCCCCTGAAGGCCGGCGAGACGCCCTACGAGAAGGGCAAGGACCAGGAGGAGTTGGAGTGGATGGAGCTCGACGAGGAGGACCGCATCGCGGCGAACAAGAAGGCGACGTGGTGGCAGGAGCGCGCGCTCCGGAAGCGGAAGGCGCGGCTCGCCAAGGTCCAGGCCGCGGAGGAGCGCGAGTACGCGAAGCGCCAGAAGATTTTGGGCGAGTACGCCCACTACAACATGATGGCGCGGTCCCTGCTCGAGGGCCACGACGTCGAGCTCTTCGCGAAGCCGCGCTGGTTCCGGTGCCACCCGGGCATGCCGCGCGGCACGCGGCTCAAGGTCCGGTCCATCCCCGAGGTCTACAGCGCCGTCATCGGCGAGCTGCGCTGGGGCTACGCGCTCCTCGCCTACGGCAAGGCGCGGAACT